TAGCGACCATTGAGCAACGTTCGTCGGTTACTTACTTTCGTTTCACGTAACGCTGTCCCCTTGTGCATGCACGAAATTCATTCGAGACATCATACCTCCGTTCTTGACTTCGACGCTGACCCGGTCGATTCACCCCGTAAGTACGGGCGCAACAATGGATGTCCCGGTGCAGATTCGATTACAAAATCTGTAAAACTAGTTTTCCTGCCGTAACGAATAATCCAGCATTGAGCAAACGCAGTGTCGTTCGATTAAAAACTTTCTAACGGAACATATTATTCTTGGAATAGTTTATTTACGAGTAGTCGTATCTCGGAACGATTGCAATCGTTTGTACGAAACATAAGAAAGCGTGATGTGATATGATAGAAAGGTGTCTGCCGAGGTCTCTTCTAATGTGAAGTAATTTCAACTTTTACCGAGCAGGACCGAGTCTCGAAAATTTATGGAAATTAGCTCTCGGATTCCAGGTAACAAATCACGCAGAGATGAGGAAAAGGCACGATGGAAATGTTGAGGACGAGGTGAAAAATGGTTGTTTGTCCCCGGCTAAGGGACGACCGCCGTCGAAACTGTCGTTTCGCAACGCAGTAGAAAAATATAATTAATTAAGTCTATCTACCCTGCTGTCGCGCGCTTTCGCAACGGCTTTGGTATTTTCCATGTTTCCTTATCATTCGTTTTTCTCGTCGATCGCCCTTTCGCGTGAAAACGGTATCGCGCTGCTCTGACTCTTCTCGGAACAGCCGCACCGTGTCGACGTGAAAGCATGCCGTGACTGAACATTTTCCATTTTGTTATTTATAAGCGTTAACTTTCGTTCTCGGCCACGCGCCAAATGCGATAGGATCTCGCCTGGAATTAGGTCTGACATTGTGCCCATCCGACGACAGTCAAATCTAGTTCATGTAATAATAAAAGAGAACAAAAATTGTCAATCAGGTATCAACTTTCTAATAGAATTATTTTTTTTTTTTTCACAAGAGAAATGTGACGTTTTGAGGAGTGAAAGGAATTGTAATTAAAAATCGTATTTTACAGAAGAGTCCAGAGAGCTCACCGATTGAATTTCACTGCGCTTCGTTACTTTCTTGTAGATTAGATCTGGAATTATATGGTCACGAATTATTCGGGTGTACGCAGCTCTGACGTGATCGCAATTTTGTTCTCTCCGTCAAGCGGCATGCGACGCGATGATAAGCTGATGAAGCCGTTGATTCGCGAGGCAGCTGTCCCGGCAGTCCTCACGTTGTCGTTCCGTAATTTATCAAGAAGAGAAGAAAATATGATTCGCGGAACGGTTCACGTTGATTCGCGGCTCTTATGCAAACTGTTTATCATCCGATTCACGACCCGAACGGGTCTTGAACTCGATTTTCTTCTTATCTTCTAAATACGCATTTAGATTAGGTTTAAGTTAATTTCTGTTTATCATTTTCTTATCAAAGCCGGTACGTCTTTTATTGCATAATCCGTTGTAGAGAAGCTGCCTTCATAAGATTCGTTTATAAGGTAAAGGAGGAAGTACTGGGACAAAACGAATTTTGGAACCAGTATTTGGACATAATAGATATGTATTTAATAATTTACTGTCCAAGTTTACAATCCCTTTTGAAACTTAATACGTACAAGTGGGACAAGACGACAGTGGCTGTCCAGGTTTAGCCCCTCACTAATTAATCGCGCTGCAATACCTGGATAAATTCCGATCTGCTATAAAACCCATTCAAACGTATGATATATTTTTCACAATAAATGATTTAGTGTATTTTCATAACTTTTCAACCCTTTCTCTTAATCCAACTGTTTCTCAATTCGCTTAGAGGCGTCATAATAATATTGTCCCAGTTCTGATTCCATACTTGTCCCACTACACCACTCGTTCAGATTAAATGTGTCCTACTACTGCGGTTGACAGCAATTTTTTTTTAATGCGATTATTTTAATACATATATTACAAAAGAAGGTTTTTTTTCTTAAATATGACTATGAGATCCCAGCTATCTGTTAAGATAATAAGTTTTCATGTACTATGTTTAAATTTCGTAGGAAAAAACATTATAAAAAATTTATGTTCAAAAGTGTCCAGGTACTACCTTCTTTACTTTATTAAGTAAATAATTCCTTAAATTGTATTATTGAACGACTTGAGGAGGGTTCACGGTCGTGGGGGGGACACGCGGCCAGATTTCGAGCACAAGGACCCAGGGGAGAGCGAAATGAATTTAACGTTGGTCGCGCACTCGCGTGACCAGCGTCTCGGATGAAACGACGGCGACATCGTCGTCATTATCGTTCTTCTTCGAGCACCCGTTGATTATAAGATCGTCAGTACGGGTTCGCTTCAGTTTGTACTAAGACCGCCAGGCACATGCGTTCGTTCCTAGCGTGCTTATGTAAAACGATCCTGCGAGAAGTTAGCTCTTTCGCTGTGTCCGAAAAAACCGGTGAAAGTATGCCGAATAACTGTGTTTAAATACTGCTACGCTTTTTGTTTCCGTCTTCTCGTGTTCCCTTCCTTATGTATGCAGCGTAGAATCGATTCATTGATACGAACGCGTTCAATGATATTTTTTCAATTTCACTGGTGTCGACATTGTGATTTAATCTGTCGATTATTATTCAATATACTTATTACCACACCTGTTGGCCAACCGGCATTTTAATCAATTGGGCAACTCGTTGCACGTTCATTAGATTCTTTCGGCGTGTTTCAGGGACGCTCGATCCGAACAATCTTACAGTTCGTCTTCGTAGAGAAAAAAAGTCACCATCGATGAGGAAAAATAAAATTCGAAAGCGTTGTCCGTTGAAACGGAAGGACATTGGCTCCGGACATAAGTACGATTCGAGCGTGAACGACTTTCTAAAACCACTTGCACTCGATTCCGTCTGGTTTTTCCACCGCGGCTCGGCCGGGGTTCGGCGACGCGGCGGGCTTCCCGGCGGATTTCGCGGGACGCATCTTTCTCCTCTCGACGGAGAAAGTGGCCGACCCGGTGATCAATTGGGTAACACGCAGGCCTTGCTGCGATTGAATAACCCCTCGCGTAACAATCGGCGCCCGTCGCCTTTTGTCCGATGCAATCGCGGCTAGACGCAACCGCGCTCCGATCAACCTAATTAATAGAATTGCGCAACACGCCTGTACGAGGAAAAACCGGCTGGATTTTATCATTATTGGAAAGCCTCTTACGTAAATTCTTTCTCTTGACGCGAAAGAAACTTACCGGAGAATCGGCCAGGTTAGGATTAGAGGTTCGCTGGATCGAAAATCAAAATATAGACCAGGTTCTTCTTTCAGATAAGTGACCCGCACAGGGAAGATTCTTATGTATCGTATTCACGAGGACGAGTGGGAAGTATTAGGTGGAAAAACGTGGGGTATAACGTTACGGCGTCCCGTATGCGGGTTGATGATCCAGCAAGAACGAGTTCCTTCCTGAAGAAACAATGAGCGGGACATTGATCCGTGAAACGAAACACGAGACCCTGATCTACGAGCTCTGCCCTTCGCTGTTACCTGATTCCTCGACCATAACTAGACTGCACACTTTTTAATACAGGATAAACAGTACAAAGCGTATGCTCCGATGCGTTTTATAATATCCGTGTCGAACGGATCGTGATATTTGAAAGCGTAAAACTCACTCAGAAGGTGTAAATCACTTCTCGAGAATAGAACAGCAATATACGTTGCCATCAGTTTGCAAGGGAGATGAGTTAGGACCTACTTCACGTTTCCTTTCAACGTTCCAGCATTTGTAGATGAATAAAGCCAAAAAGTGGCTCAACTCATTTAGGAGATGAAATATAAGTTCTCATAAAATCTTAAGAATCTCATAAAGATTTGCAGAGCGATACGTTTAATAATTAGACAGATTTTTACATATGAACGAGATTGGATGATTACGTAAATTCGAATTATAAAACTGAATGGACCAGAAATAATCTATTCTTATACAAATTCGAATTGTATGAATAATAGATTCGATGCTTCGAGGTCGACGATCTCGCGAATGTGACGTAACAAGGAGATTGCGAATCGATTAGGTAGCCAGAAAACAGAATAGTATCTTACTTGTACATCTCCGTTGCCGCAATCTCGACCCGAATCCGAGGGATCGGCATCATCGGGCAATCATTTCGCTATGCTAAACGCGTATTGTTGTCGCGCACATATCTGGGTCAAGTTTCGTCCGCTCTTATGCTCTGTTTTTCAATTCGTACGACCCACTTTTCACGCAGAATCTTTGACACCTTTTGTTTTTTAATAATCACCAGTAAAATTTGTATGTTTTGATAAATAAGAACGGTTGTTGTTGCTCTACGATTTTCTAATGAAAACTGGTTTCTGCGTGAAAGATAGGGATCGATCGATGATTGAATTTCGCGACAGACCGGCGATAAAACGTGGTTAACGAATTCTAGAATGAATAATATACCATGTCGCAATGTTAGAATATTTAGGGTCATGCCTCGAATACCGAGTTGTTACAGTTACCGTTCAACCGAGAAATTACGGTGCAAGTGTGATTCCGTTTCTGTGCCCGAAGAACATAACTCGTCAGAGTTTCCTTGTTTCTTTTTTGGCAGCAGGATTTATCTAGAAACATGTAGAAAGAGAAATTTTCTAAAGATAATGAAACTTGAATGGCGAGTTGAACTAAGAATTATTGTCATTATTGTGATTCGCGAAATCGCTGGTCAGTCGTTTTACGATTTCGTTCAATTTTTCGTCTTAAACTACCGGTTGTTACGACGCGCCTAAAACACCGTGGAAATTCCTAACACGGTCCGTTTACCCTGTAACTAAGGATTCCATCGCCAATTCAGATTCCAGTCGTTTTTCCCCGTTTTTGCTTATATAAAATCTGGCACGCGATACCGTGATTCCTCGCGAGTTGTTCCTTAGTAGATTACCGCGTTTATTAGGCAACGACGTTGTTTTCGGACTTCCCCGAAACAAATACATTTATTTATAAATTCTGTGTCCGTAGATGTGGAAGAACTTGACTTGCGTGGACGATTTCCTGAACCGTGCGTTCCACAAGCTCGGCCTTGTGGTCGGTCGTCATCCCGGCTACTTCGTGATCGTTCCGGTCCTCCTGGCGTTCATCTGTTTCACCGGTTACCAGAGGATTCATTACGAGATCGACCCAGAGTATCTGTTCTCGCCGACGAACGGTCCGAGCAAAACCGAGAGATTAATAGTCGAACAATACTTCAAGGTGAATTACAGCCATAAGTTCAACCTGGGTCGCATCACCAGGCCAGGTAAACGGAATGCTTATTGTGTAACAGAATGAGACTTCGAGAAAGTACAATGAACTGTGAAAGTGCTTGACGATCTGAGAAAAGTTTAAAAATCGTCTATCTTTGAAATCTCCAACCGTTGTTGAAATTAAGATCGAATCGTATAACGCCTCGTTAGTGCGATCGCGTCAAAGTTCAAGGAGAAAGTGCATCGACTTCGTTCGAGCGTTTCCTCGTTTTCATTGCGTGCAATTTTATTGCGGCGCACGAGCCGGCTTGTTATTAGCCTGGGAACTTTCACGTTTCATTGAGCCGTCGCTAATTAACCCTTTACCGAGGCGTTTTCCCGTTTCCCCGCCTCTGGGATACAAGACCGCGACGATTCTAAACGAGACCGCTTGTTGTTGACGTTATCAGGACGATTCGGGCACGTGATTATCACGACTAAGGATGGGAACGAGAATCTGCTTCGAAAGGTGGTGTTCGACGAGCTACGGGAGCTGGACAATATAATCAAGGGTGCCAAAGCGGTTTACGAGGGGGAGGAGTTCACTTATAGTCAGATTTGTGCCAAATGGTTGGACACGTGTTTCAACAACGACATTCTAGATCTGCAGGATGTAATAGAGTAAGTATTAGTATAAGAAGTAACTAGAGTACTAGAGTAAGAAACACTCCAGACGAGAATCGCAGAAGCTCCCGTTTAAGAAACGACAAAGACGATTCGGTCGGACTTTGTTATTTAAGAATGGGAGCTCCTGTTCGTATTAGGGGTCTAAGTAGCTGTTAGCACTTTGCAGGGAGGTGGAGAAGAGGGAGCTCAACCTGACTTTCCCGGTAACCGTGATCCCGGAAACATGGGAGATCCACCTCTTGCCGGTCTACTTCGGAGGCAGCGTTCTCGACGAGGATCAAGTCGTTGAATCAGTACCTTCCATGCAGCTAGCCTACTTCCTCACCGTGGACAACCCCCGCCAGGATGCGATGTGAGTCCGTTGATCAAAATCAATATTCAGATGATCCTTGATTTTTTGATGGAATAACGTAAAATCTCTGAAACAGAGGTGCAGCTTGGGAAGAAGCGTTCCTGGAGGCTCTAAGGAAGGTGGAGGAGGACAACGTGTTCAAGCATATAGAAACTGCCAGGTTCGCCTCGAGGACGCTGGAACTCGAGCTGGAAGAGAACACGAAGACCATAGTGCCTTATTTCTCAAGCACGTTCATCCTCATGGCACTGTTCTCAGTGGTGACGTGCATGATGACGGACTGGGTGCGCAGTAAACCTTGGCTAGGGCTCCTGGGGAACGTGTCCGCGGCGATGGCCACCGTGGCGGCGTTCGGGCTTTGCATATACCTTGGCGTCGACTTCATTGGACTCAATTTGGCCGCCCCGTTCCTGATGATTGGTGAGTTCAATTGCGATTCTCGGTACTTTGAAACCAGCTGGCTTCATGGAACGAGGAAAGAATCACGGTTCCAGGTTTCCATTAGTATTCCCCGGTCATAAATCGTCTTTTCATTTATTTCACTTTTTTTACTATTTATCTGTGCTCGTATCTTTTGCAATTCGTGACATAATGGTTCACGTAACGCGAAGAAAGTTGCCTTAGAATCTTTAAGAGAGTCTGACTCACGTTCATTTTCATACAAGCTTCCTGGGTTGTTAGAGGAATTGTGACTCTAATGTAGCGACGGTGACTGAATGACTGACGAGGTTTTCTAAGAATGATGGACAGATCGCGAAGCGATGTGATTCGAATTTCGCATTATCATATCGTTTCCACAAACAGTGGCGTTTTCAAACGTTACTGCGAAGCGATGTGACTCGAATCGATACAGAAACCGGTGCGAGTCAGAAAATGAAAAGATTTCGCAACGCGACGCGATCGTCCGCAACGATGCGCGGGCAAGCGTGAAGGGAAAAAGTCGCTTCCGCTTTTCGCGCAAATCACTCGGTGCTCCCCTGACGCGCGACTGTTCGATCAGGAAAAGCCGCGGTGGACGCAACGCGAGGACGTCGTCAATCGTTGCGTTAAATAGCTCCGGGGGCAATTATAAACTGGAATTAGTCGAATAAAAAAGCCTGGCGGGTCTCGAAACCGCTTGTCCTTGCTCGAAATTGAATAAACGCGTTTATTGGCGAGTATAAACCGGCGTCCAAATGTAGACAGGGCTGAATCACGAATAAACCGACCATTCTGATTCACTCGACGCGCTAACTGCCGTCTTGTTATCGCTATAATGGCACCGTGGACGTTTTTATACTAGCATCAAGGGACAATGATTCACCTTTTATTCAGTCGCCGCGCTAACTTTTAATGACAATCATTAACCGCAGAGGAAGCACGTTACTAATATCGCTATTTGTTTATTTGTTCATATGCAGGTATCGGAATAGACGACACGTTCGTGATGCTGGCTGCCTGGAGAAGAACTAGTATAATGAAACCGGTACCGGAAAGGATGGCCGCCACTTTGAGCGAAGCCGCTGTATCAATTACTATCACCTCCCTCACCGACATGATATCATTCTTTATCGGCATTCTCTCACCATTCCCATCCGTTCAGATATTTTGCATTTACTCAGGTACGTCATATATACTTTAAATAATGTTTAAAAACTCTAATGTGTATTGAATTATTCAGGATTCGCGGTGGTCTTTACTTTCGTTTTCCATTTGACTTTCTTCACCGGATGCGTGGCGATCAGCGGATACTGCGAACAGAAAAACCTGCACAGTGTGCTCTGCTTCAAGGTGCAGCCCCTCTCCAAGTCTTGTAAGTAACCTCGCTCTGTTCCAAAAGAGCTGGTCATAAGTAAAAAGTACGGAGAACTGTGGGCATGGAACTGGACGTTGTTGCGACCGTTTACGTTTCCTTCTTGCGTAACCGAGCGTCCGAGAATCCGTGGGTAAAAGTAAAAGTCCATATTTCGGTTACTACATCCGATGTAACCATCCTGTTTATTCGGAGAAGGGGGAAGAGAATCGTTAAATAATACTTTCGGAATGCTTTCACGTTCGCACCTCGTTTTGTTCCAACTTTCATTACGTTGTACGAACGAAGACAAAGGAGACCATCGGATTTTAGATTCTGGTTACAAGGGAGAGGCCGTTTCGATTGAGAAAGCCGGAAGCCTGTTGCGTTACTCGAAAATGATTTATAAATCATCATGCGATGTACGCTTGTATCGGGAAGTTACGAATCGCTACTGTAAGCACGAGCGCGTAATCTGTAATTACAACGGATATTGATCATCGATACATCGGCCCGATACTTTCTCCGGGTTTTGCCGCGTTCTTGTCAACATAATGAAAAGCGGTGATCTTACAGCGGCCGTGTTACGTCAGGAAATCGTGCCGAGTTACGTTCGCGCGCCGTTAATTCGTTAGATCACTTCGGGATTATGTAACTGCGTCGCTTTCTCCCGGTACATCGTCGACGGCTACGGACAATGTCATCTCGGGTTTACGAAAGCGTTCTCTGGTTTCTGGCACCGAAATCTTGTAAGCTGAGGTCGTGGGAATTTATCATCAGAACTTGGCGTTCGACGAACAAGGACGGGTATTAATTAGTATCCAATAAAGGTCGCGACATGGTCAACGCATCTTGGAAACCACGTCGCTACGTGCCTGGCGTTATAATGCAATTAACATTGGCACGTGACATTGTACTCGCGCTAGTCTTTGTCTCCCACCGGACAATGGTTTCGTCACGCTTGTTCCCACAATGCCATCCGGGTTGCTTCAAAGTCAAACACAATGCTCGTGTTCATGGAAACCGCATGGTTCATCTTTCAGCGAATCGGTCGTGGCTGTACAGGGCGTTGTGCAGCGGCGGCGTGGACCCTAACGACCCGTACAACACCGTCGACAACCCGGAGCACGGATGTATGAGCTGGTTCAGAGACTACCTGGCTGCAGCGCTTAATTGCAGACCGATCAAGGTCATCGTTATACTGATATTCGCTACGTACTTGGCCGGCGCGCTTTACGGGCTAACAACTCTTCGGGAAGGCTTGGACCGCCGCAAGCTTTCCAAGAACGACTCTTATTCTATTGCCTTCTACGATCGCCAGGACTACTACTTCCGGGAATTTCCGTACAGGATACAGGTGAACAAAATATGCTTGCAGCAAATCAGTATAATCATATAAAACAATTATTTTTTATTTTGTACTTGATGGAATTTGCTGAATTGATTCTTGCATTTTCTATTCCCTTTTCGATATCAATTTCTCTGAATTTCCTGTATAAAACTTGTACAAATGTCTGGTACAAATGGAACGAGAAAGTCCGATTCGGGTCCAGAAACTGAGATCGGCCTCCAACGAACATGGCAGCTCTCGCGGCGAGGCGTAATCCGCAATTATGTCACGTGGGGGCAACTTTCTCCGGGGAGGGAATCGAAGAAAAGTGACTGGGAGCGTTGCGTCAGCCGTTGCTCTCGCGACTTTTCTCGTTCGACCCAGAGGAGGACGTTTGCTCGGATATCCGAGTACCGTTAAGAGTACCGCAGGCCCCGTTAAAGAATGTCTAATTTGTAGCTTCCTGCGCCACTTTCTTGCGTGATCGCATATCATTATTCGATGTAGTAGAGAATTTATCGAGAGATGATTATACGTCGACACGTTCATTGTACGTCGAATTTGAAAAGCGTTGTTGTCCTTAGGTCCTCGTGAGTGGGCATTACGACTACAGCGACCCGATCATCCAGGAGCAGATGGAGAACCTGACCAGATCGTTAGAAGCGAGCAAGTACATCAGCAGCGCGCCGATATACACAGAGAGCTGGCTGAGGAGTTTCCTGAGCTACGCGAACACAGCAGACGAAGTCGACATCGGCAACGAGAAGAGCTTCATCAAAACATTGAAGGAGACTTGGCTATTTCCCATTTACAGCAGCTTTTCACTGGACGTGAAGTTCGACCAGGCCGAGGAGCATATAATAGCGAGCAGATTCCTCATCCAAGCGGTGAACGTGAGCGGTACCAATCAAGAGAAGGACATGGTGAAGGAACTGCGTCGGATCTGTACCAACTCGCCGTTGAACGCCAGCGTGTTTCATCCTTACTTCGTGTTCTTCGACCAGTTCGAGCTGGTCAAGCCTACCAGCATCCAATGTATGGTCTTCGGTGCTTTGATCATGATGCTCATCAGCTTCATCTTCATTCCGAACGTGCTGTGCTGCCTGTGGGTCGCGTTCTGTATCATATCCATCGAATTAGGCGTGGCTGGTTACATGGCGCTCTGGGACGTGAACTTGGACAGCATCTCGATGATCAATCTGATCATGTGCATCGGCTTCAGCGTCGACTTCACCGCGCACATATGCTACGCGTACATGAGCTCTAAACAGAAGACGCCCGAAGAGAGAGTCAAAGAGAGTCTATACAGTCTCGGACTTCCCATAGTTCAAGGAGCCGCGTCCACTATTCTGGGCCTCGTAGCGCTACTCCTCGCTGGAACGTATATCTTCATGGTGTTCTTCAAGATGGTTTTCCTTGTGATCTTCATCGGAGCTATGCATGGGATGTTCCTGCTCCCCGTCCTGTTGTCTCTCTTCGGTCCCTCGACCTACAGCGACGAGAGAATCGAATCGGAGAAACGCAAGGCTCAAGAGAAAGATTTGAACTGTAAACTGCAACAACCATACGTGATTCCTCACCCTAGTTTAACTTTTTACAATCCTGCCGGCGCAGGGAAGAGTCTTCAGGGTAGCCCGGCGACGAGCTTGGCCGCTTTCGAGGACAGGGATCCCGGTTTAGGGACCAGCGAGGACAGCAATTCTACCGAGAGCGGTTCTTCTCAGAGCAGGAGGAGAGAAGGTCAGATGGAACAGGAGACTCAAAGACGCCACGACGTTTGGAGAAGGTCAATCGGCGTTCTGTACGGCATGTCTCAGTTCCAGACGGCCTTGCAGCCAGCCGCACCGCTTCCGGATTATTCCGGGGCGCAACAGACCGGCCAGGGCGAGCAGGAACGGCGAACGGCGAGAACCGTATCCTACCTGGGCCCATATCCGACCTACAGGCCTGCGAATCAGCCGCAGAGGGATCACAGGAGAAGTAGATCGTACCATAATCTTCATCAACCGTCGAGGTACCTGACTGAGCCACGCTATCCTTAAAGATATCTCGAAACGAATCGCAGCACGACTTGCAAAACGACTTCCGGTCGCTTTTAAGCGATCGTTGCAAGTACTGTTACTTGTCTTATCAGAAATTCGCCTCAGAGGCTGGTAACGACGACTTGCTCGTGAGTGTAAATACAAATGGAAGATGTATTAATGATCATCTTCTTCGAAGGGGAAATGCGAGTCGTGTGACGGGTAGGAAGTGATTCAAGTTTTAACAAGTGTGAACTCTATATTGTAGCTGTATAGCGAGCTATGACTCTCTAATATACGATAACAACGTCAGTCTGTATTTTTAAATATCTTTGGGATCTTTAAAAGTTCAGACTTGGCGAACAGTGAATTTGATACGTTTTTACTTTCGAGCCGAATGCAGGAACTTCTCCCTTAGTTTCATTCCCCCGAACTTTTAGTTTTTAACTATAGTACCAGCAGAGAATATCATTTACCGTGCACGAGGCCGTGCGTAGCGTGTAAGAATCTGCTCAATGGAAATCAAAACCAAAACGACGTAACAGCAGCAGTAGAAGGAAATCAGAAATTCGAGGGACCTTAAATCATTCGTGCCTTAACGGAAGTGTCGTAAGAAATGAGAAACGAAGACTACGAAATAGAAATTTATGAAAAGAATTCCAGTGCGAGTTTTTTGAAAATTTTTACAGATAGTCAAACGTTCCCTCAAAAATTATTCGTTGAGCGCGTCGAAAGAAGTGCATGGTACTTCTTATTTAATAGAAGAAATTTAGGCGTAGCGAGCCTAGCCGCTGAGAAGATGAATTTCAAAAGAGGAGAGAAAGAGGAGACAGAGGAATTCTTGTAAATTCAGGTAGACGAATTAATTAAACGATGCATCTTCCGTGTTCAGAACGATATTTCCTGTATAAATAAATAGTGTGCGTGTCGCTGTGAGTGAGAGAGTGCTACGAATATTATGCATTGTCACAGACTGGCAGCTGCCATTCAAGAAATATATTCTGATAATGATTTCCTCACGAAACAGTTTTATCTTTCTTTTCGACTAAATAATTAAAAGAATATCCGCGTACAAGAAGAGGAGTCCACGGATCAAGTAAGAACTCGATTGTTATTGCACTTTCTTATAATGGTAGATCAGAAATACTTTTCATGTAGCTTCATAGTTGCACTGCACTTCCTGTTTGAGATTCTTCTAATTCATCTTGCAATTCGTTTTCCAGTTCTTTTGGAGACTCAACGCTTGAACTGATGTCACTCAACAAGCACGATGGTACTTTCTCAAAGCTCTGTACTGACTCTTCTTCCTGAACAATTTCCTCCTCTTTCTCTTCCTCCATCTTCTTCTTAATTTTCTTCTCTTTCACAGGTTGAATAAGACCCAAACATCCCATAGCGTATTTGCAATCAATGTCGTCGAGCTATAAAATATACAATCATTTTAATTAACGTATAGTTACACTGTATTTAATTATCATGATTTTATAAATACTTCTGATGCGGTGTAATCAACGGCATTGACGATGTCTTCGGTTTCTAGTATCTCCAAAAGCGTCTGGAGCATACTCGGCCCCATGCAACCGAGGCATTGATTCTTACTATAAGCCTCTTCCGCTACCTTTAAATTTAAACGTTTTAGACACGAGGAAATTAAGTCAATTATCAATTAGCATACTTGCAAAGCCTCGTTCAGAAAACTGCTAGCTCTATTTAAAATATCCTTCAACGTTTCCATTTTTCCCTCTTGTTCATGTATCGTCTCTAGCAATCGTTTATTTTCTTCTCTGGCTTTAACGACGTTCTTCTCGCACTCCTTCAAGTCTACGTTCAGTATTTCATCTTTTCGTTTGATTATATCTTCCAAAATTGCTTGCATTGTACTTAAACGGGTGTTGGATCTCTCCACATCTGTGTAACGCGCTAACAACAGTTGGAATTCCTGTAAAATGAATTTTATTTTATATCGACGATCAATAAGATTCTCCAGGAGATCGTCTGTTCTCACTTCAACGATTTGGTGGATAGCGTTTCGTTGCTTCAACGTTTTTTTTAACACGATCTCCGTCTCGGTTTCGAATAACTCGCACTTCAACCTCAACGTCTGTTCAGTCTTCTTACGCTCAACGTTCACCGTTTCTAATTCTCTGTTGTTCTTCATTAATTTATCGAGATCACGATTCAGCGCGACGTTCTCGCGAATCGTACGGTTCATCACGTCGGTTATTCTTAAAGTGATCGCTGTGAGGAGCCTTTCTGATAATATCTGCAAATGTTCCTTCATCTCCTTTTGCAACCTGCTCGTTACAAGACAAACTTCTTAATAAGTAAAAATAAAAACGGAATCTGCATAGAGAAATGAAAGGTACATCGCTTTTCCAACTACTACAGATTTCTCGGCTTCGTAGAGCTGTTCTTTGTGCCGTTTCTCTTGTTCAGCCATTTCCTGTTCCTGGTTCTCAAATTTCTGTATTAAATCCAGTCGCGCTAATCGCCAATCCTCCAACGCATTCAATTTTCCAGCTGATGTGAAATATAACAAATTATAATTATAGCACCAAGGAGAGATAACTGTGGATTTTAAAGTAAGGTCAGTAGTACAGTTCACCGGCTAGTTTAACTTCAGCGCTGAGATTGTTCTCCATCGTGCGATACTCTTGGTCCATCGCTTCCTCTTTCTTTTTATAAGCTGCCAGCTCCTCTTTCCGTAATTCTTCCAAGGCAGTGAGCCTCTCGGAAAGTTCTCTGGACTCCTCGATCTTCTCTTCCAAAGTCCTTTTCAAATAGGCGATTATATCTGCGCGGTCCTCTTCCAATTTTTGAAATTTCCCTTTCGTAGCTTCGGCATCCAGCTCCAGTTCCTCATTTCGACTCCTCAAACTAATTCAATCTGATTAATGAATCCATCGGTTTGTGAAATAATCAGAAAATTCACCGTGCCAGCTGTCTGTTGAGGTCGACGATCTCCTGCTCGTAGGAGAGGGTCTCCCTCTCGTCGACACATTTCTTCTTCACCTTCTTCTTTTTGCTCTTTCTCCTCCTCGATCTTGACCGTTGCATTTTTCAACCAGGTTTCATGAACGATTTCAAATCTCTTCTCATCGCATCACGATATCGGTCAGAGCGTAATTCTTGTTGAATCAATATTAGAACAACTCCACGGTGACCAGAAAGGGATTTGATATTATTTCGTAACATCGTATCATTTAATAAAGTTTGTAAAAATAATGCTTAATACAAATAAAACAGAATACTATTTAAATTCTATTACTAAGTAATACTAGTTAAGTTCTTGAGACGTCAAAGTCTATAATGGCACGTGGAACGAAGACGTCTCCCAGACGTCATTGTATGTCATGTGGTTAAGAATAGTAATAAAGCTTTATTAATATCTAATAATAAATAATACATATCTCAACATTGTATGGGGTGTCGTTTGTACGTATTTTATACAGGTATTCACTATTCTCAGAATAATTATTTGCAAAATGAAACTAAATATCGTAGAGAATAACTTGCTTATATTTTTATCTAATATCGTTACGGTTTTATGTTTTATAAAAAACTTACCTGACGATACGGAATATATTTGTCAATCATAAAGATTCACTCGCAAACGTATCCGTATGTATCACCTTGACACGTGCACACGCATGAACATAAAAATATACTGGAAGTTAATTTATATCAGAGACTTTCTCTCTGTTTATATACAGGAATATATATATTTAATACTCTAGAAATACGGAAACAATCTATTATGTAGAAAGTGAAAGGACGATGCATCCCTTCATAGTTTCCAAACTTCTTTACATACATGCGTGTATAAAAACCAAAAATCGTTTAGAATTTCAAAAGAAAAACATATGTATATGTATATGTATATGTATATGATCATCGAATTCAGATTTATAATAAAATAAATACAAATCGATTACGCGTACCCGGTGGCTACAAAAATCATTTTTCATTCAACAACCAAGCGATACTTTCACTCTCTATATTTGGACCCAACGAATTGATAACGCAAATGCTTGAAACGAGCTCGAACGATTTTTATAACCACCACGAGATCTATACACACTCACATAAAACTCTGAAGTACAAAACGTTCACGTAAAACCTGTCTCGCTGACTATCTTGTGCAAAATAAGGTGGTTCAATGAAAACAACGCTGTCTGTATGCACTCAGGTGCATGTATTTACGAACCATCAGTAACAAATTTTCGTTCGATCTAAAAGACAACGGAAAAAAAGAAAATAGGAGGAGGGAGTAAAGTAATTAGTAAAGAAACTAGTTAATCCTAGGTGGGGGCGGTGGTTGTGGCCTGCGGAAGTAGATGATCAAGCTGAGCACGCCGGTGAAAAATCCTATCAGATACAAGTCCCAGTTCTGTCCCAGTAACTGGTCCCATTTATTCAGATGATCGACCAGGCTGAACTCTTGCAAGTAATCCAAACCGAAGAGGAACGATAGCTTGATCAGGGCCAACGCGACGGGTATTCTTGCGTCTGGACTGGCTTCGGCTGCGAGATCGTAGCACCGTTTAGCTAAATGACGGTCCTTTGCCAAGCCCAAACCGCGTTCGTGCATGTAACCGAGATTGAACATCGCTTGAGCATTGTGCTGTTGTTCGGAGGCTGACCGGTAATGACTAGCCGCCGCCTCGTAATCTACTTTCGTGCCTCTGCCATAGTAATGAGCGTCTCCCAATTTGACCTGCAACAAACAATTGTACAATTTTTATTATAATTAAGATGATCGGTACAAGGCTCCTGGAAGTGCAAACTACTAATAATCGTACCTGAGCGGCGGAATATCCTTGAGCAGCTGCTCTAGCCCACAGAGCAAGCGCTCTAACTAATCCTTCTTCCTCGGTTAGTATTGTGGTCTCTCCTTTGTCGAGTATAAACGCGGCGTTGCTCTGTGCAACCTCGTATCCCATTTCCGCGAGGAGAGCATAATTAACGAACGCCTCGTTTATTCTGCCTTCTCTATAATCCGCATGAGCGACCATCAATTGGTCGCTCCATTTTCCCCTCTCGGCGACGTTCTTCAGAAGCTCGACGGCAGTCGGACAGCTGCGCATCATCCCAGTACCGGTAGCGTGCATTTGCGCCAAGTTGTAGAATGCCAGTACATGCCCGGACTGGCTGGCCAGATTGTAGTACTTGTTAGCTACTTTGTAATCCTGTCTCACTCCTACACCACCTGTTGATATCGAAAAGATCATAAAAATTGTATGGGAAATCGTCGAGTTTGGGAAACTTACTGAAATACATGTTGCCGAGTTGAAGCTGTCCGTCGACCCATCCTTGCTCGGCAGCTTGGCTGAAATATTGAAGAGCCTTCGCGGTGTCTCTCTCAACGCCTCTTGCGTGAAGATACATGATACCCAAGCCGCTCTGTCCGACAGGATTGCCGAGCTCGGCGGCTTTCTTAAAGTACTTATACGCTGTTTCGTTATCTTGCTTCACTATGTCGCTACCTTCTAAGTAGATCTATAAAAGAAAAACCGTACGTACAATAGAGCTGAACAACGATTCACGATGATCGATTCCTACCTTTCCGAGAAACGCCATGGCGAGAGGGTTTCCAGCATCGGCAGCGTGTTGAAAATATTGCAATGCCCTTTCGTGGTCGAGCGGTACACCTCGTCCGCCTTGATAATGCAACTGGCCGAGCCCCACCTGAGCCTGTATATCCCCTTTCTTCGCCAGTAACTGATAATACTCGATCAAGTCTTGATCAAAGATTCCCGAGCTGTACGCTGGATTCTCCTGTTCGTCCAACAGCCTGACTCTCTGAACGACCGGACCGCCGCTCAGAGAGACTTCGTCCGCGACTTTGTCGGCCACTTTACGATAAAAGTCGAGAGCTCTCTCGCATGAAGCCGGCGTTGTGATTCCGGCCCAATAGCGATAGCCCGAAGCCATTTGTGCGCGGCTGTCTCCGCCGAGAGCTGCTACCGTGTAATGAAGCAGTGCTTTTGCCTGTGAAGCGTTCACCCCGCCTAATCCTGTCGCGTATAGAAAGCCCATGCCCTGAAAAGATCATATTAATCATCATGTATAAGGAAATGTTTTTATAAATTTTTACCATATGAGCAGACGGTAGACCCGTCTCGGCAAGCTCCTTAAAAGTCTTGTAAGCTGCTGGGATGTCTTGGGCCGGAGTGCCGTACGGGATTCCCAATAACTGAGCCCATGCTAACATAGACCGAGCCTCGCGATGTCCAAGGATCGCAGCAGACGTCAACAACTTGTAAGCTTCCGCTTTATTCGACCGCGTAGCGTTCAACAGACTCTGTGCTTTCCTAAATATTTGCTCCGCTGCAATAATTTGTGAAACACTCCAGAGATTATTTTATTCAACGTCCGGAGCACGTTGCACTTACCTTCTTGTTGCTCCGGAGTGAGCGGTTCCTCCGCCTCCTCGGTCAGAAGTTCCAGTTGTCCTTCCTCGTTCCATGCTTCGAGGTCCTCTTCCTCGATCTTTATATTACTATTTGGTAAATCAATATTCTTAGTCTGAGCTATCATCGCTTTCATCCATACATTTCTCATAACAGGACTATCGTCCTTATTTTTCGAATCACTCTCATCATCTTCCTTTCTGTTTATAATCTTGTCGTTAGTAAATACTTCGGCGTCTGGCACTATCTTTAGGAGGGCATCGCGTAAAGCTTCAAAGCGCTTCAAATCCACCTCTTCTTCTGCTTCCTCCTCGGAGGTGTCCGACCGCTTCTTGGACACCTCGCTAGCGACCGACATCACCAGCAACAGTAAAATAAACTCTTTTCTCAGCTTCATTTTGCCGATCGTGTTTTGATCGTGCTTCTATCAATCAGCTGGTACGAACAAAACTATCAATTAATTAATTATTTATCATTTGTAATCGTGTACACACGTACAGCGTACCGTAACCAAAACCGCATCGCGGTGATCCTTAACGTAAACTAAACGTTTTAGAAACTGCCATTCAGCACAAGGACCGATAAAAAAATTTCAAACTTCACTTGACACAACAACCACTGATTGCGCGTATTAATTACAGAAACTGTCTTATACATACGATATCTCGTCTTATAACCTAGGACCACTCGACGATGCGAAAAACGAAGAATTTGACGCTTGGATTCAGTTTACTTCCTTACCGTTAATGCAAGCAGCTCGGCGATGATATTCTCGACATCATCTTCGAATATCTGTACTGTTCTGTTCGAGTTTTCGTGGTTGAAATACGACGTTACGTCATTAAGACACGTCAACGCACATCTTCGGTTTATCGCGTGTACGATTACCCGTGCTCGTCGCCCGAAAAATACTATTTACCCATGCTAAAACGGTCGGCGGACCGATAATTTCCCCGCGACTACTGGTCAACAAAGTGTGTTCGTTCGGTTAACAATCGACGGATCAGCTGTTTCCCGATCGGCTTCGAGAATTTCGCTTGCTACGTCTACGTCGTCGTTCCCCGTGGCGTCGTATAAGTGGTGAATTTGGCCTCGAGTTCTCGACCATAAATTTGTTATTTCCAGCAAAAGAGCGAACCGATAACCGGCCGAAATCGCAGGAGCAGCATCGTTGACGATGACACGCTATAATTTGTACACTTTTGCATGCTAATTTATTCAGATCGTTCTGTAACATAACCTGGATGCACACGCTTTGTACGTTAGACAAATCTTTTTTTCATACTGAACCTGAATCTCGTGTATCTCGCTACGAAGTAGTGATAGCATAACAATCGTTCGCAAGATTCTCACATAAATGTTGATTAACGCGATACATCTGTGACGGTATTCATACTTGACATGATTACATGCAGATTGACATTCATTATCATACAATTGTTAATTTCATATTTTCGTTCTATCCTCAGTGTTTGGATTTTTATTCCCTGAAAAAATGGTAGACTTACAAGGGAAAGATAAAGGTAATATTTCGCTGCCGGAAAAATTGCAATCGTACGAGTCAGCCGAGGACCCTAGACAAAAAGGACAGCCAACGATTATCAACACGCAAAGAGCATTTTACGACATAAAAGTCGCGGATATTGATAATAAAATACATAGGTTCAAAATAAGACAGCAATTCCTGAACTCCTGCTCTTTTATTCTGTTACGAAAGTGGTACACTTGAAACATGCAGGCTGGAGGATAGGAATGAAGAGCTGCTGCAAGATATTGAGAATGCGAGCGAAGTTTTCGCGGCAGCGGACGCAGAAACAGCTGAGGAAATCGAAAATTTGAAGAAACAACTTACGGCCCAGACAAACTCGTTAGAAAACCTGAAAGAGAGGATCAGTACGTTGGAACAAAGTCGCGAGGACGACAAACAATCCTTGGAGCATAAAATCAAATTGTTCGATGAGAAGTATAAGAAAAAGAAAGTTGAATTAGTTTCTCAACTGAAAGTCTTAAGTAACAATACATTTCCCTTACATGTTTCCTTGTCTCCGCGATATCCTTTCCCCTTGGTAAAAAGAAACTGATCTTTAGACGCTAGGATAAATGTATTGGACGATTTTAAGAAGGTACAAAAGCCTTTGGGTGAGAAGCTCAAGGAAAATGAGGAGCTGATGGTGGAGAATGAAAAGAAAATGAAAGAAACTATGCTGAGTATTGATAGAAGGATCGAATTCGATAAAGAAATGTATTCGTCTTTCAACAGTTTTATAATTTATGTCGAATTGATCATAGAATGATGTTCGTTCAGACTGAAGAATGAAATGTACGATTGCCTTCTCGATTTGGCGGCCCAGTTTCAAGTAGAGACTAACAAACACATAAGTAAGCCAAATCAGAGGCTAATGAGAGAGAATATTATGTTGAAGAATGAATTGTTAGTAATCAGTGATGAGGTGGATTCGAAAATGGAAGCACAAGTTGATCTTAAGTAATATTTTCAATACGCGGGTACCAATTAAGCTTCTTTGAGCTAAAGAATTCTTGGTTTGATTGTATAGAATTAACGTCGTCGAGCACAGAAGAAAAATTGATGAGGAGACTTCGTTTTTTCGAAGAAAATTGGTAATCGCTAAAGTGCAGGAACAGGTGTTGCAGCATTTAAAGAAAAAGCTTCAGAAAGCAAAGGATTTCCTATCGACTATTAATATACCCGATCCTGGTGCTGAAGAGAAGTACCTACTGCTGATAGACAAGGCTCGTGAAGAGGAGCACGAAGCAAAATTCCAGTTTTCGTCAATGAAAGCTTTGCTTCATAAGGAAAGAACGAAACTCACCTATTCTGGATACATACTCAGGAGATTGGAGTGCAAAATAAAAGCGCTTGTTGAAACGATTTATGATTTGAAGTATACCGTAATATGTTTGCTCAAGGTACAATTTCTGATCTTAATTATTGTTTAATTTGTATATCGAATACTACGTAGTTTTAAATAACTTTCAGTACCCTTCTGCCCGAAAAGACTTAATAACGTTGAGCTGCATTGAATTGTTTATATTCCTCAGAGACATACTTGTTAAAGGCGAATCGAAATTCCGAAGTTATATTATTAGATCGTATGTAGCAATAACAGTCGCAATTTTCTTAACATAACTCGTATATTAAAAAAATTATTAATGAAATTAAGGTCAGAATCAATACCCCGAGAATTAGAATCTGTCACAGACATAGCAGTTCCTCCTGAAGGTATCGATTTCGAGATAAAGATAGATTTCAAAAAGGAATCAGTTGAAGGGAGTACAAAGAAAGTAAAGATTGCTCTTAAAAATCGTGCGTGGGTTGTGAAAGTATGCTGAGAAATTAAATTTATCTCCTAGACGGAGGAAAGTACAGACGTGGAGGAGGAAAAAGAAATATCTACGGAAAGCGGTATGACCCCAGATATCGATATTGGAAAAGATATCGGATCTATTTTGGATCTGCAAATGGACTATGAATTGTTCGAAGACGTGGAATACGAAGGAGAATCATTGCTAGACGTGATTGACGAATAATATTTATTTACAAAGTCCTTATATCGCTACTTACAGATCTAAATTATTTTACATTAGGCAGCACGATCTTATGGTCCGGCTTTATAAAACGCTTGACTTTCGGTTTGTCTCGCGACCTGTAAACATAACAAAATCGATTAAACGTAAACTCATTACGCCTTTTACTCAAGTCGCAATTAATTAATTCTGTACTTACAACTTGAGGTTGGAAGGAGCAACGATATTTCTCTGTTGAAGAGACTTGAACCTGTCCTTCAACAGATTATTAGTTGCTTCGGTATTTCGTAAATTGCCGGACAACTCGCTTGCTAATTTGAACTCCTGTTCTAACGGTTCGAATTTAACTCTGCTGAGCGTTTTAGTACCTATCGCGTGCTGCGCCTTCTTCTTTAATCGCTTCTCCTTCAGGATTGTTGATTTCTTCTCTTTGGCAGCTAATTGTCTGTCCATTAATTTCAATCTGTATATATCTGAAATTTTCTTTTTCTCTACTTTCTCCTTCTGCTTTTCAAGTTGCAATGCTTTCTGCTCTTTCTGCTTGCGCCTCTGCACTCTCGTCTTTTTCATATTTCTAACTGGTGGATTTACAGACTTCACTGTCGGGTCATTATCTTCGTTTTCAGTGTCTGGATTGTCCTCTGGCTTCAGACCTTCAGACATTTCTTGTATATAGTTCTTCTCTTTTTCCTTTTGAGAAACCTAAAGTACAATTTTGATTAGACAATCATGTATCTTTAAAATTATAGTACTGTAGAAGTTACCTTTTTAAACATCTTCGTGGTAACTCTGTCCAAGTGTTTCTCTTCCTTTATCAATTCCATTTCCTTCTGTGCTATTTCATGCAACAACTTCTGATGATCCTCGAAGGAAGGATTGTAAGATGTTCCTGGATGAGGAAGCTCAACTGCTGGGATAGCTGAAGGTTTCTTGCGCAGAGAAATTGGCAACTTCTTCTTCTTTGCTCCAAAGTGTGTCAGTGTGTGTTTGATCGTGCTAGAAGCCAGCCAATCTGTATCAACGATTTCCTTGTTCTCCTCTTTCCATGTATCATTGTCGAACTGTCCCCTCTTTGCTTCTTTCAATCTCTCCTCTCGTTTCATTGCTGCAATCATCTTATTCTTCAATCTAAGCCTATCTTTCTGCTTCAAAATACCCTTGGACCTCATAATGGCTTCCTTCCTTAAAACGAGCGCGTTTTTCCTTTCCTCTTTGGTCCTCACGCGATTTCTCTTCGCTATCGGATCCGGCACAGCCGATTGAGGCTTCAAGATACTGAAACATCTTGCTTCCTTGGATTTCAACAATTCTCTGCGTACTTTCTTCGGAAGAATTTCAGGAGTTTTAGAAACTATGAATAACTCCGAGTCCTTACGAGATTCGAAAGAGCCTAATCTCTCCTCCTGTCGCGTATCTTCTAAAAACTTCTCAACATCTTTCGTGTCCACGTGTTTGCGCCATGCCTTCTTGTTCTTCTTGGAAACTTTCCGTTTCTTCGTACTAACAGCAGTCATTTCGAGTTACTGGCTCACTCGCAGTTTGAAGACAACGTGACAATCACTTTGGTTAAGTTTCGTTTATATCGTCAGGATGGAAATGAACCTGGGGAAAGCGGCTACGTACAGCTAGTAACCACGAAACCGAGCCAGCTATGTGCATGTGTTAGTTTCCCCTACGTCTGAATAAATAGTTACTGATGTAATTTTATTTTGAAATTGAATGTAAAGGGAATGTGAAAATACAGGAACGGTGTAATTTATAAAAATAATAAACGTTATTCGTTCATTGTATCATTTACTTATTATTTAATCAATTATTAGGTTAATTAACATTTTAGAACGTTTTAATTATAATGATTTTGGTGTGGGGGCTGTGTGCAGGGCAGCAGGACTCTCTGGTATCGTCTTATGCGTGGTACGCATGCACATGGCGAGAGCCGTTATGATCTGACTCCGGATTCCAAAACCCTTTGCTCCCATATAATAAAATTTACTGAACCGTTATGATGAGGCAGGTATGGAGCTCTACCTCCAAGAAATGATAAACGCTGATTAACGATTGCACAGGATCGTTTATTCTGATGGCGAAAAGGCCCGCGTACAATGTCTGTATAAAATGGCGAACCTCGTGGTCGCTTACAAGTACGATCGCCACGCGTGGCTAGAAATTTTGAGCTCGATACAAAAGATATCGATTCGCTTCGATTCGTCGTTTAATCACTATTCGTAATAGTAATCCGCGAGGGCGGATGCGCGTCGGATATCAACGATTGATTCGGATACGGCGGAACGCGGCTTAGGTAAGACGTGTATTTGTAACGCGAACGTGCGTTCTCGATGATGCGTTAACGAGGACTGTTAACCGTTGAGGAGTTTGAACGGCTAAGGAAGAAGCCTACATTGGTTTAACGCAAGGGCGTAAAACTCCCTAGATATGTTGGCGCAGTGACGCCACATTGGGGTTGCTCGCGGCGCCATCTAGCGTTCACGGCTGCGAACCCGTTTTTCTCTCTGGTGCAGCAATATTGGAGCCAAGAATTTTCGCTTTTAACAAGAAATTTCGTTTTTCCTCAATAACTCCTAAACCCTTGCAGATACGCGAAAAGTGCATACGACCTTTCTTGTAGATCAGATCGTCCTCTACAAGAAAGGCACCCTAACGACCCCCCTACGTCCATCCGTTCGGGAGTTATTGAGGAAAAACGAAAATNCATTCCCTTTACATTCAATTTCAAAATAATCATTTCAATCCGGCTTAATCATTGTTCACAGTTCTCATGCAGATTCGTCCGTTTCACGTGTTGCGTACGCGCGTATATATACACACGCTTGGATCACCTGTGGTCGGACATAAGGCTGGCCACAACAGCAGCGAAAAAGTTGTACTTACCGATGGCTGTCATCGCTTTTTCTGACAGATGTTTTTACGTGCTCAATCACGCGAGTTTCGCCCCGTCCTAACAGATTCCGAATCCAGCGACTATCCCGCCTCGAGGACAGTGTTCGTGAACCCTGTACCGTCGCGATAATCTGTGCGACCGAGTTTGGACCGGACCGGAGGAGCGTGCTTGTTGTTCAAAAAGTTTCAAGGGTGCGTCATCAGAATTCCGAGGATCGCGGATCAACTCGCGCGTGTAAAAAAGATCGGTTGTGAAAAAACGAAAAAGGGGGTGGACGAGAGTAATAAAAGAAGTGCGGAACGGGATCGCATCAGTGCCGATTAAGAGAGAGAGAGACAGAGACTGAAAACAAAGGGTATGGCGAAAACGTATGATTATTTGTTCAAGTTGTTGCTGATTGGTGACTCAGGGGTCGGGAAGACGTGCGTCCTCTTCAGGTTCTCCGAGGATGCTTTCAACACGACCTTCATCTCGACCATTGGTAAGGACACCTTTTTTCGTCTCCCCCCTGGCTCCCCTGTGTCGTTCACTGTCCTCATCTTCCTCCTCCTCCTCCTCCTCCTCCTCTTCCTACTACACCTTCTGCTTTTTTATTCACTGCCGCACGGCTCGATTTCAATGGTAGCGATCGTTCCTTTTCATGTACTTTAGATACGATCCAGGTCGAAAGATCAATCGTTAATGGATTGCCCTTGAAAGAGATCCTTTCATCCCAAGAAGTCAAATCGTACTGCGTGAATTTCTGGTCTTATGCAACGCAACAATTGTTTATAACCAGCCTGATCATTTCTTATTTCTTCTTGTTACTTTGTTATTATTTGTAATTCAAGCTCGGGTGGCCTAATTATCCTCTGTACTCATTCATTGTTTGTACACCAAATACAAATCGTTTCTTTCTATACGCCACGATCCTTCATCTCGTTCACGTCCTGCTTGTTTACCTCCACTTGAGTATGCACAACTTATATTAAGCACGTGTACGCACTCTATTTATGTATTTTACGACATATTCCTGCAACACCACAATGCATACAATAATAGTATTGTTACATATGCACCTCGTCTCACAACTGTATTTAGATTTATCAAGTTTACAAGCTTTTAAACTAAATCTTTACTGTCATCACATATCAATTAAATGAAAAAGATGTTGTATCAATAAATGAAATACGATCTATTAGGTATATCGTATTACTCGATGACTAGCCACTTTATATTTCATTTTTTAGTAGATATTATTTACTAGATAATTACAAGTGGCAACATATAATCACTTCTCGATATAACATTATCTATTTTTTATCAAAGTATAAAACTAGTCCATGCAATTATTAAGGTCAGCTTACTATATCTGTTTCTACAACATATATTTAGAGTTTAAGGATTGAAATAGATTTAGTTATTATTGTTTCCTCCGAGTACAAAAAGCAACGTCGGTAAAACAATACTGAGCAATGTGAAGAGCACATCTATTATATTTTTAGTTAACAACTAGCATCCCTTATCTGAAAGTATTTGGCTTGCGAACATCTTGAAGCCTAAAAGTTTTACTGAACGTATAGCAGATCTTTGAGAAATCAACTATAATAGTTTGTATCATTGAACTGAATTCATATATGCATAGTTGCTTGATCATTCGTAGCTCGTTTTATTTGCAAACGTAATACTTTGCAAGTATTCCTGTAATGATTTACTTTCGTAGCGATCTACATTCGATTAGCCCTTGATTTACGTTACGAACTTTCTTTATGCTTACAGGAATTGATTTTAAAATAAGAACAATAGAATTAGACGGCAAGAAAATAAAACTACAAATATGGTAAGTGTTGTATAATCGTCGTACGTAGGTAGATTTATTTTTAAATTAATGTAGAGTTCGTTCATGATCGTTTCCATGTTCTGATCAAAGCATTTTGTTTCTTGAAGGGATACAGCTGGCCAGGAAAGGTTTCGTACGATAACGACGGCGTACTATCGCGGTGCGATGGGCATAATGTTGGTCTACGACGTGACCAACGAGAAGAGTTTCGAGAATATAAAGAACTGGATAAGGAACATCGAGGAGAACGCGTCGGCCGACGTTGAAAAGATGTTGCTTGGCAACAAGTGCGAGCTCACGGAGAAGAGACAAGTCTCGAAAGAGCGAGGGGAGCAACTCGCCGTCGAATACGGTATCAAATTCATGGAGACCTCGGCCAAGTCCAGCATTAACGTCGAGGAGGCCTTCTACACCCTCGCGCGGGACATTAAGGCTAAGATGGAAAAGAAATTGGTAATGCTCTCATTTTCTTTTCCCAATCTGTCGCTTCCTTCTTCGTTTGAAAGAGATAAAAGTAATTTGAACTCGTGTATTCATCTTCTAAACGGTGGAGGTTCCTAATCTGAGTCCAGTTAATTTCAGTGAATTTCACATCAGATGTTATACACGTTTAGATACATACATATAATTTTAGATGCTTTCACAGATCTGTCCTAGCGAATAGTTTCGCATTGATTAACCACCGTTTCTTTGTTTCCTGTGTCTGTTTCTCTGTGTGTTGGTGCGGGTCTGTCTCGGCAGAAGGTAACTCTTCCTCTCTCTATATATATTTTGCACGATCATCTGTCGTATCGTCATCTCGCCGCGTTGCACTTTGAAACAGAAACTCACCGTAACCAGCGTCAACTAACAATTCATGTCTAATTGCCGTGATGTAATTGCTCCTCGCTTTATTTCTTTCTGTTGGTTCAAATGATACTTAATACTCATTATATAACATTTTTTTTGCAACTTTCTGTTCGCCACTCGTTATGCAACAATTCGCGTAGAAGCCACACGTGCTGACATAATCGCGTTCGTCTCGCCTGCCTTTTGTCGTGCATGCCCTTAAATTCTGAAACTTCGACTCTACCGTGAGAGAGATTCAACATGAATTTCAACCAGAATATTATTTGTTAATGTCGATTTGCCAGTTCTCGAGCTGTGATGTAGATTAATTGGTTTGGATTTGGAAACAGGAGGCATCGAATCCACCGAAGGGCGGCGGACATCAGCTGAAAGCATCCGAGCCACAGAGGAAGCCACCAAGTTGGCTCGCGCGATGCTCTATACTCTGACCCATCAGCCGGCGCATCCTCGACCGTCACCCTCCAACTTTTATCTTCGGTCTCCGTCGCTCGCCGATGCACGACGCCGCGAGTAATTCTGTGATTTTACTCCTTGACGGCCACCTTCGTTTCCCTCCGTCGCTGCCGGTCACCCTTTTTTACTGATTCAAATCTGATAGGGGGTCTTTTTATCCTGGAGGAGGAACTCTCTCTCTCTCTCTCTCTCTCTCTCTCTCTCTCTCTCTCTGTTTCTTTCACTCGCTCGCTCACTCTTTGCCCAGTCTAGTTACCCAAAAAGAAAATCTTTCCCACGCAAAATAATCGCGAATTGTGATAATTTTTGATAATTTTTTAAAACGACGCTCATTCAGAAGAACACATCGCTAACAAATAGTTTGCAAGTTGTCGCGTTCGAGCAAAATCTAATGGAGTCTCGTAACACGTTGCGCGAAAGTCTTTTTAGAACGATCTAGATTGTAAATCGTGAACTGCGCGCGTGTGATTCTATAATTTCTGTTTAGCGTACAACTAACTGATGTAACGTATAGAGTACGCGTACACAAGCTTCGCTGTGAATGAAAGTAATAATCGTCGACAAGCCAGGAAGGACACGTTCCCAAGCAATAAATCGTTGAACCGTTTTTTACGCGTTTGACCTGTGTATCTTAGAAGTATCTATTTCTCTCCGTCTGTTTCTCCGTTCTCGTCTGCACAATTGTACTAGCAACTTTGTGCTTGTATTTTATAAAAGGAAAATCTGACAATTGTTCGGAAAAGTAAGTGAAACGTTCGAAGGTAGGAAGGAAGGCGTTGGACACTTCACGGTTCGAATATAACAAATTGTAAGTGTTCATCGTTACCATCGGTTCATACTCCGGCGTCTTCCTCTCTTCGTTCTTCGATGTTCCAGTTTTCAAAGACTTTTGTCACTCGTATTTTTTACTAGAGCGCGTAGAGACGGCGGAAACGCGCGGCGTGTTTGTGAGGATTTTGTGTTCCGTGTGTCGTGCATACGCCAAGTTTCTCCTCCACGTTCACGATCAAGGGGTACGACGATTCTTTTTTTTTTAATTGTTTTATTTAAAAGGAACGAACACCGGTACGAGGAAAAAAAGGAATGACGAGAAAGGGAAGAGATTTCTCCGCACGTCGAACGAGAAATCTCTTCCTTGTTCGAATCGATTCGTTTCTGATTCGTTTGTAAGACACATGTGCAAAATGGGGGTGCGGATAGGTGAACAATGGGCGGTCATTTTTTATATATAAATATATAAATAAATATATAAATATATTATATATATATATACATACACACATCGTCAAGTTAGCTTTTTCACCGGATCGAGGATTGAACTCTTTGTTGATTAATTCGTGTTAATCGATTAGCGCAAATTCATTTGGATACGACTCGGTCAAGAGAAGGTTTCTTTCGATTTCTTTTTTATTTCTCCCTTCTATCGTTGAAGCAATCTAACTATAATTGATTAATAATGGAACACGGACCTCGTCCACGTTCGAAACGCTTGTTATAATAGTTTTTCATCTCCCGGGCGAACAGACTGGCTATCCTTTTTCCTTTTTACAATCGTAAACCAGAGGAAAAGGGAGTCCCTCTCTGTGTTTCCGACTTATACTTAAAAATATACAATTATTATAATACATTTTATATCAATCCTATTTCGTCTGTTTTTATTGTTGACACCCGCCTTTTCCTTTGACGTCGGTGAACGATTCTATCTCATTGTTATCAATTAATTACGCGGTTTCATTCGTAGTGTATTATTTATATGATTCACTCCTTTTCCTTAATGTAGCGGATAGATACACGGCGCTGTGTGAAAATGCGAACTTTTGATTTCGGTTCTGAATGGTGGGACAAATTGAGAATACGGCAACGAAGTTAAACGGCTAACCGACATAATCACGAAACCGCGAACAAGGGTGGCGTTGTATATATACACGAACAAAACAAATTATTAGTAATTTTTTAAACACACGTTTTATAACGATAAGCAATGTAACTTTGTTTCGAGATAAAGACCTTCGTCGCATTAATTATCAGATGTAAACGAAATATACTGGAAAGGAAATAAACATTGGTAATCATCGAATTCACTGTTCCTCATTGTATCTTCTGATTAATTTTGTATTTTTGTTAAATCGATGGATAATTCGTCGAGAGTATGGTTTAACTTATCTTCAAACGGCGCCGAATCGCGTAATCTCGCTTTCAATTGCGCCAACATTTCTTTCAACTGGAAGAATGATGAATACAATAATTAATGTAAAACTAATGGCGCATGATGATTGTACCTTGAAACGTAGATTCTCTATTTCTGGATGCAATTGAGATTGGTTGCTCGTTTCGCACGGAGAGAGTGCAAGTAATTTATTTTGCAAATGTTTTATCTCCTCTTTATACTTCTTGTTAATCGCATACGAACAGAGTCCGTAAGTTTGCAATCGTTTATTAAACTGTATAACATTCATGGCACTGTCCATCAAATATTTTTGTTCTTTCGAAAGTTTCTCAATGTTCCTAAAATAGAATCTTTGACAGTATTTTTTTTAAAAATCATTATTCTATTTCTTACAAGTCGACATTGGCAACGACTTTCTCATTCTCATTTTTAAAATCTGTTAGCGCCTGTTCGAGCTTCTCCCTCTGCTGTGTTTCCCGCCGTAACGCATATTCCAAACTGTCGACGTTAAATTTATACTTTGACGCTTCCGTGTGGAAAAACAAGACTTCCTTCTTCAGTTCGTCGCGTTCCTTCGACACGATTTCATAGCTGGTCGACAGATTCGACCGTTCAATGCTGTCGCGCATTTTCTCTTCCTCTAAACGATTGATTGTGTCCGACGTGATCTTCAAACGAGTCCTGAGTTCGCCGGATATCTTTTCTTCCGTTTGTAGCAAAGAAGTTTTAGTGCAAAGCTCCGAACGCGCCAGCAGCAATTCTTTCTCAAGATTGTCTAACTGCGCCTGACAACGGTAAAAACAAATGAACATCTTTAATTGTTTCACTGCTCTGTTTGACCAGACAACCATACAGCGATGGTTGCATATTTGAAAGATGATTTTACATTGAAAGATATAAAAAACGTGCGTACCGTTTTTCGTTGAAGCTCGTAAAGGACTTCGCGAAGATTTTTGTTGAAGAGGACGATGTCCGGTGCGTTAGATCGTACACTCTTCATTCTTAACAACGATGTGATTTGATTTACCCGGAGTTGAATTACAGTGATACTAGCGCCATTTTGATACTATCGATTTAACGAGCAAAGATCGGTGATTGAGAAAAATTCAGAACAGGACTTATATATTGAATTTATTGACATATCATAAAAATATACTATTGTTGTATAAAATAATTTAATTAATGACTGTCCATGAATTGAATATCTGAGAGTAATAAAACTGTGTTTGGTAATGGCCTTGGTTGCGGGCTTAACACTGTAAATGTCTGCCTCTCGACATCGACGTTCGTCCTGAAAATGAAAAGAATCAGCCATCGTTCGAAGAACAATCATAGAATGATTGTAATTGAAAAATATTTACACGCAAACGAATCCGGCGACATTGGTCTGCACCACGTCGTCTTCAGGTGAATCAGCGAAAGATACAGATAATAAATGATGAAGGAGGTTCGGCCCAGGCGTGACAGCTACCAATTTCGTTAAATTATCCTCCGCCTTCATTCCCAACGGCATACACGAGGCTGGAAGTACCGGAGCTCCAATTTTATATAACCTAGCCTCGCTCCACTTCACTTCAAAGCTGTGGGGATAGAGCGGCGTCCTGGAACCGTAGAAATACTCTCTGACGCTCTGATCCCTGGCCTCTGTTCTCTGTACTTGACTCCTCTCGACAACACCTCCGCTTTTCGGCAGGAGCACTACTCTGACGAAATCCGGCATGTCTCTGACTAATTCGTTATAAAGTCTCTCTTGGTCCAATACTAGAATCGCGTCTACTTCGAACGCCTGAGCCGCGTGAGTCAACAATTTGTATCCTTCTCCTTTCACCCAGCCGCAAGTATTTATCACGATACCAGACATTCTCGCTTTCTTGTTTGCTTGCAGCCTGTCGGAACAGACCTCAGCCAAACGCGTTACGAGTAAATTGTAAAGAGCTATATTAGCCTGAGGCGTTTTATGTCCGAAATGAAAGACTAGGGGAGCTTGCTGGCTGAAACCGTCGACCACGTTCGAAGGACGTTCCACCAGCAATGCTCCGACGGTGCCCGGAATTGCTATGTGGCCCTGGCCCACGTCCAAGTCCACGAAGATGGGTCTGCGACCCATCCTGACCGCGTAATTTAACAGGAGCCTGCAGAGTGTCGATTTTCCCACGTCGGAAGGACCTACTACCATAGTTATCGGTCCTCTGGTGTCGTCCTTTTCTGCTGCTTCCCTCAGTCTTTCCATCGCCGCGTGACAGTTTAAATAAATACCCATCGGAGTCTCTTTAGCCACGTAGCTGACGTCGGTTTTCCCCACGAGTTCCACTGTGCATCCTTGCCAGGTGAAAACCGCTACCTTAGCACCGGCTGTGAATTCATACTTCCTTCCTTTAACCAGCTCCGTACCGAATACTTCCGCGAGTCCAGTTTTTAACTTGAAGATCAATCGACGTTTGAATTAATCATTGAAAGGAAAAATGATGTAGTAAATACCTGATATGGCATCCGCGTACCTCGACTGTTACTTTCTCGTTTTTCGTTTCAACTTCGAAACGCAATTCGCAGTCCGGGTCCAATTTGAACTCTTGCGTCTGAGTCTTCTCGTCAGTCATTTTCCAGTTTGAAAAATACTAGCCTCACGCGTCAATTGTTTCGACGATAGTTCCGCCTTGTTTACGACTCGTGTATCCTAACCTATGCACGGTACGATATCGAAGAACAGGTTTTTCAGAACACGACAGACGATGTCACTGATTGCATAAGGAAATTATAATTGAAAATCGTTATTTTATCATATAATGACTTATTATGTCAATTGTATTTCGTGTTATTGGTGTTCTCTCATGGAACGCCGATGTGTTAGTACCGACGTAAATGAAGTCACTCAGGATGTATCCTATCAGAATACATTGTTATCAGTATCATTGTCATTATAACGAGATAAATTCTGTTCACTGGTAAACAAATATCAGCTGATTTAAGTGAATGACCCACAGAATGAATCATTCGAGATGGATACATTTATTTATATAACTCCTTTATAATTGTGTATATACAAACGTTGCACGATTCGAAATTCGTTGTAGCGTTGCCTAAATACCGGACAAATAATTCCTATTACACGAAGTCGAATTTTTACCGGTTGAGTACAATCTGTTCTTATCTTAGTATGTAAATAAAACTGGAAGCTCGGTTTTCACTATCGAGACAAACACGTTGTGTGTCGCCATGTGATGTAACAATAATTTGGCGCGAGGCTAACAGTGAAACGAGATTTGGCGAAATGAACGGCTTGTCGGAGGACGACAGTTCCGACAGTAGCAGTGAATATCTGGTACATCCGTCGAAGATCAATTTAAGATCCAGCTTCTTCGATGATAAGAAATCTAAGATCGATGAGAGGGACGACAGCGAGGAAGAGACCGACGAGGATCTCGACGATCCCACGGAACCAAGTAACATCGAACTATTCACTCAGGTCTTGAAAAATTTGGAATCCTCTCAGCAGTCGCAAATCAAAGATGAGAAGAAGGAAGGATCACGTTTCTCTGAAACATCGAAGACAGAGGCGGGCAATGATACTTTCAATGAGATAAACGAATTACTGCTTCGGGGGGAGAGCAGCTTGGGCTCGCCCAGCAAGAAATCTTCAAAAGATGTGTCAATAAAGACCGAGGAGGATGCTCAGGCTCCTAGTGAATACACTATCCCAAAGGATGGTGTCAACATCGTCCTACCTGGCACAAGTTTAATGATGAATACCAGAAAAAAGAAGAAAGGTCACGACTTGAAAGCGATCTTGAGGAAACGACTGAGAGACAGTCAGATATTGATAGAGAAAGTAGGATTGCTGTGTTGGTTGGCTTATGGATTTCATCTGAATAGGCAGATCAATCAACCTGAGATAATGTCTGGCGTCTTGTCTTTAATGTCCTCTTGTAACTACCCGAAGGATAAGATCGATTTGAAATATCTTGAGAAGTTCACGAAGTGGTTCAAGCATGTATTCACTTTGCAAACGATTGAAAGTAATGGTAACAGAATAATAGATAAGGAAAATTTGTCCAACGTGTTGAAAGAGAAGAAGGTTTCTTGTTATAAAGAATTGGTATTGCTATACGTTGCTACACTGAGAGCTCTTGGGTTGAACTGCAGATTAGTTATTTCTCTTTATCCTCCTCATAAAGTCTTTAGCGATAGTCCTATATTTAAGATGGAAACGAAAGAGCAGGACAAGGAGAGCAAGCCTAAGAGTAAGCCTAAAGCACAAAGCTTAAAGAAATCGAAGGAGAAGAAGGAAGTTTCTGAGAAGAAAATCATTGAAAATAGTACCGAAGGGCAGAAAAACGCGAAAGAGGAAGCCAAGAAAAGAGCAGCTGCGGTTCTGCGGGCGAAACCGCAGAATAATGATAGAAAACGGAAGTCTGATATTGACAAGGATTCCAAAAACGAGACAAATTCTAAAATCAAGAAGTCAGATAACAAGAGTTCAGAGAAAGATGGAGAATCTGACGAGCAGGAGAAGAAAGGGATCAATTTAAGACAGTTAAGATCCAGCAAAGTTAATTCCGAGGAAAATAAAGCAAGCAAGTCGTCGGATTTATCCCAAGAATCTGACAAGCAGGAGAAGAAAGGAATCAATCTAAGGCAGTTAAGATCTAGCAAAGTTAATTCCGAAGAAAATAAAGCAAGCAAGTCGTCGGATTTGAAGCCTGACGGTAAAAGATCAAAGTATTATATACATGAAAGTTCGTCGGATTCTGAGATCGAATTCCAACCGAAACCAAAACGTCCGGCAAGGAAAGATTCGAGTGACGATAAAGAGAAAGCACAAGATTCTAAAAAAGACATCAAGACGGACACCAAAAAGGACACCAAGAAAAATAATAGGAAATTGGTTTCCTCTGACAGCGAAAGCGAGGAGAGTAATCAGAAGGACAGGCAAGATATTTGGGCGGAAATCTATTTGGAATCGGAATCAAACTGGATCTGCGTCAGCCTGATGGACGAGAAGGTTCAATGTGTGGATCATGTATATGTAAGTTCCTATTTTTAATCAAAGAAAAGTTTTACTTGTTATTATATTTTATTAACGAAGCTATAACAATCGTATTTTATATAAAGAAAAAGGCAACGAAACCGGTGTTGTACGTGGTCGCGTGGAACTCGAATGGATTAATAAAAGACGTAACCAGGCGGTACTGTCCTCAATGGCTGATGGTCACGAGGAAACAGCGAGTCGACGAGAAATGGTGGAAGGAAACTATTTCTCCCTGGAAAGAGAAAGACACTGCTATCTCCAAAGCCGAGGATGAGATGCTCTTGGAAAGGTATACGTCGATTACTCTTAGAACATCAATGAATTTGATAAAATACAATGCAAGTATATCGTTCATCTATTATAGAGAATTGGCTCAGCCGTTGCCTAAGTCGAGCGCCGCTTGCAAAGGCCACCCGCTCTACGTAATTCAGAAACATTTGCTAAAATTCGAGGCACTGTACCCTCCGGATTGCGCGCCTTTGGGATACACTTCGACAGGCGATGCAATTTACTCGCGACATTGCGTCCACACTCTTTGCTCGAGAGAGACTTGGCTCAGACAAGCCAGAGTCGTAAAACCGAAGCAAGAACCTTATAAGATCGTCAAGTCTCGTCCGAAATACGATAAAGTAATACCATCTTTTAACGAGGACATTTTTTAATAATTTTGCCTTTATGAAATAAATTACTTATCATATGATGATTGATTGAATTGATAGCTATCAGGAATGAAAATTAAGGATCTGCCGTTGGAGGTGTTCGGTGAGTGGCAAACTACGCAGTACGAGCCTCCAGTTGCGAAGGATGGTATCGTCCCACGAAACGAATACGGAAACGTGGATCTCTTCAAGGCTTGCATGCTACCGAAGGGAACTGTCCACATAAACCGTACGTTTCTCTCTAATCATTCGCAATTTTATCATTAAATCTTGTATTGATACTCGAAGATAAGATTGCACATTTTTATGAGATTAAAACTGTTTATCGGTTACATCGCCTGATGGCAGTTCCAGGATTGTACAGAGTCGCCAAGAAATTGAACATAGATTGCGCACCAGCTGTGGTGGGCTTTAATTTCGGCGGGATGGGCGCGGTGCCCGCGACAGAGGGTTTCGTGGTTTGTGAAGAATATGAGGATACTTTGCGGGAAGCCTGGGAAGCCGAGCAACGGGAAGCGGCCAAGCGGGCGAGAGAGAAACGAGATAAGCGGGTTTACGGGAACTGGAAGAAGCTGATCCACGGCCTGCTGATAAGAGAACGATTAGCTATCAAATATCAGTTCCGGAAGAAGGAATAAAGTCTGTGATTAATGAACGAACGAAGGACGATAAAGATGAACGCGAAGAAAACTGAAGTTTCATAAACTTTGTAATGTATAACAGAATGATATTACTTTGGCATCTCTTAATTTAATTTGTGTACAGGTTTAGTATTATTTGTTATTTACAAATCACTCAACAGGCAGCCTTGTTTAGACTAAGTAAGTTATGATACTCCTTCCTCCAAAATTAAGCGGACGTCTACAATTCATTCCACTATTTTGATATGTATGTAAAATGGAAATTTATAGACTTATTTAATGTAATTCGATATTATTTAAATTGTCTTTGCATAATGTATATATGAACGTATGTAAGTTTTGTATAACGGTTGAATAACAAGTTGATATATCTTTGTAAAGGACTTTTTGAATACCTCCTGACCCTTCGAGTAGATTGTAATTGCATAAATCGAGTAACTAGCTATCTCTTAATCAATTAATTGTTAATGTATTGTTGAAATAAGCAAAAAGAATCTTGCATCGACCGGGAATTAAACTCGGGACGCCCAGGTGGTAAGCGAGCATCCCACCACTTTTTTTTTAAAAAATGTTTTAATTCCCTTTAATTATATTTGGTACATGACGTATGGCCTATAAAACATAAAATAAGGTCAACAGTAACATTAATTGCTTTGCATTGCCCAAAAACGTGGGGATTGAGGAAAGATTGAGAGAATTACAATAAAAATCCGTTAAACATTCTACCACTGAACCACCGATGCTTCCTGGTGTTCTCCAATTAATTACTTATCTATTTAAAAAGCTGAGAGTAAAGAACGATTGTCAAACAATTTTTATAAAGAAATAGGAGCGTAATGAAACCGCGGACATTAAGTGAATATAAATTAGAGGTAATATCAGAGTTAGAGTCCCTGACCGGTAATTGGCAAATCGTTTAATTGGCCGATTCAAATAGTCGTAGACCGGCAGGTAGTAAAATATAGCAGCGCAGAGATACAAGCGGGAATGGCGAATAAAATCTAACAATATCCCAGCATCACGGAGACGTTCGATCGACAGCGACGACTGGCGACGACCCCTTCCAATTTTAGTGTATTTTTAGCAATATTGCATGGAAAAGCGAGCCTGTCAGGTAGATAGATACCTGGCCTCTTTTATTTGGTTACTGTTGTCAGTGGCGGGCTAGCGGCAAAAATGAGTAAAGGCTGTTGGAAATTCGACGAGGAGGACCGAGGTGAGCATCATCAGAACGCGGCAGGTTATCGGCCACGAATCGCAATTGCATGTAAATAGACAACGTCGTGCGTACGACGGGCGGTCCGGTCTCCCCAGCCGCGGAACCGTTAACCATTACGGTATCACGTGTCGCGCGCGATTCACGTATACGCCGGATCATTGATAACGCGGCTCCTCGGAAGTTCGGATCGATTCATTGGACACGAGATAAGTCTATCGAATATGACATTTCACTTTGCACGATCCCGCGTTCGTTCCCGCTACCCTTTCTCACATAGGATAAAGAATGCTAATGTAACACGCTCGAGAAGAAATCCCGGCTTACGAAGTATATACTAGAAGTGTCTAGGAAATAGTCATTGTTGTAGTCAATTGTTAACAGTATTTTAATTATTTTATTGATTGTAACTGAAAGAAAGAGTTCGATTCATTTTGTAGCGCTTTACGTAGACCTTGAGGACGAGGAGACCGAGGAGGAGAGGCAGAACCGGGTGTACAGCTGCTGGGACCAGACGCCTGACATACTCTTAGAAGAAATTTTCTCGTATTTGACGATACGCGAGAGGTACTATGCGTCGCTGGTATGCAGATCATGGTATCGGGCGTTCAAGCTGCCCAGGGTGTGGTCTACATTCACCCTGGGTGATAACACGCTCACCAGGGGAAAATTCAACTACCACAGCGGCTGGCAGTACGTGCTGGATCATATGAAAACATCGACCTGTTTGAACAAAGTTGGAAAGAACTTCAGATCCTTGATCTTCGAGCCGATGCTGAACTTCTACAATCTGTACGAATTCATGAACATGATCTCTTGGTACGCGGAAAGGCAAGGTTCCGATAACACGTCGGTCGCAGGGGTTGGCACCTACATGCGACGACTCAAGTACACGTTCCCTTGTAATATGGCAAACAGAGACGACGCGGATAATATTCGACTGTTCGGTACCGGTGGGAAACTGCTGGAAGCTTTGAAAAGGCTCATGCGGAATTTTCATAATCTGAGATGCCTGGAACTGATAGATCTAATGCTTGACAGCAAAGAAGCGTTGCACTTGATGGACGATATGTGCTGTAATTGCACTCAAACTATATCTAAACTGGTATTGATCAACACCACCAGATATTATTGTCCCTTGTTACACGTAGGAGTTTTCATCAATCTGCATGTAAGTCTGACAAGAAACGCAAGAGAAGTACGTCGACCAGTAGTACGTTCTCTAAATGTTAATTCTCTGTCCGAAGGAGTTAGTCATTAGTCCTCAGAATCTTCACGATGACGTGATAGATCTGCTTAGTTACACGAAATTGGAACATCTCCATATCGTCCAAAATCGTTACAGTCCCAAAGACACTACGGTGACATTGGTAATAATCAGTCGATCGATCTAGCACTAAATTTTGAAGTAGTAATAGTAATTGATTTTTATTGATTAGCCGCGTAGAAGAGTTTGGGTGAAAATGCGAAAGAACAATCCGCGGATTAAAGTGCACTTCGAGATAGAAAGCCACAAACCGACGGACATACTCTTGCCGATAGATCTGCTAGAGCACGACAGCGTACCGTGTCACAGCATCGTTTTAGATACGCCGAACACAGAGGTAAGTTTTAGATTAGTCCTTGAATTTGAACGATTCGAATCGGTTAAATTTTTCAGATCAAATCCTCGACGATAATGAATCATGGAATGTTCTTCCACTCAACGTTAAGAGTGTATGCGTTCAAAGGCCTGACGAGATATTTCGGACCCCGACAATTCTCACTGAGATTGGACGAGACGCTAGTGCAATTTTGCAAGCTCTGTCCGAACCTTCACACACTGGTATCGTTTTGTGTTTGAACGATGTTATTGTGACTTACTGCTAAAAATGTTTCGTAACGCACGAGAAAAAACACGATTTTTAACGTGGTATGCAATTCGAAATTGTTCTAACTATGCAAGTTCAGTCCCATGCAAACTACGAAGGAATTATCGGATTGTGTGCGTTGTGTGTGGCAATAGCATCATTCCGTTGATAGTCGAGCAAGGCAAATTATCGTAATCGACTTGGGAGCCAATCCGGTGGGAGGCGAGAATTTTACCATGACACATTTGATAAGTTTGGCCTGGGCATTGAACGATTCTACCACGTCGCACGGATTGGTTTCCTCGCTAACGAAAATAACTAACTAAGGTCTAATATCGCTTGACTAACGATAGAACGCTTATCTGCTTAAAAACTGGAAGTAGCCCAAGATTCTATATTTAAGAATTTTCTCCTGCAGATGATACGAGATAAGATATCAACCGCAACGATTTTAGTGATTGTCTCCACGGCTAAGAACTTGCGTTGCCTTTACGTGAGGCGACAATCGGTGCTAAAGAAATGCGACGGCGATTGGGCGAGACTTTTGAACTGGTCGCCTGAACAGTACAAATGGATCAAAGAGATTAGCCGTAGCTACGAGAAAACAGAGAAGGAGGTCTCGAAAATATTGAATTACAGGTGGCAAATGCTGACCGAAAGAGAGTTCAGGGATCAGGCAGTGGAATTACATGTATAATTGAACATATACTTAAGAGAAGATAAAGGGAGAAATATTTTGTACCAAAGAAATTTGTGTTAGTGTAAACACGTTTACACTGTTCGATATAGCTGTGATGGTATAAATAAGAGATAACTAATTTACTTGGATCGATTTTATTGTTGTAAGTTGGATTGTTCGTGTACAATCGTCAGATGTATATAATAAAACGAGAAGCTGCAAGATTATCTCCAGTTTATTATATCACATGATAAATATACGTTGAAGAGCCCCTACGCTACGTCATAATTTATGTAATTATGTACAGTGCTTGTATATTATATGTGTATATAGATTCTTGTTTTAATTATTTAAATAGACATTCATTTCTACTATATAAGGATTATCAAATGTTGCCTACGGTACACGTTAAATTAGTTAAAACATCAATAATAACTTGATCATTAAAATTGCTAACGGAGTTCTTTTTTACAGTGTAGTGTTAAAAACCATACTCCATAGAATGTCAATGAAGAAAGGGCTATGATCGATTACCAAACATTTATCGTGTATACATAGTTCGATGCCGTATATACAAAACGTGAAAGTAAAACTCTACAACACTTTCGACTATTATCATTTAACTAGGAACCGAATTTTCTATTCAATCGATTAACGGGGATCTAAAAACAATGCAGCGTCCGTCGTTTCATATACAATTTAAAACGCGGGGTATACAGTAAATATCTTCTCTCTAATTCACGAAATGGTTACAACAAATAAAAAATGTCATCGAGTTCCATATTCTCTTATTTTTAACAAACAAATTATTATTAACGGTGTAAAAGAAGAAAGCTAAAGAATCACGATACCAAGGATGCCGATCGTTTGTCCCGATTCTTGTTACGCAGGATGGTGCGCGCCTTGAATGCAGCCGCGTTCATCAGTGTCTATAACAGACCATGAAGACGAGCGGTGAAAATATCATCACTTGGACCGCGATCAATCGGTAATAAAGATAACTTACCCTTTCCAGTTTGCTTGTCTTCTGGTTCGACGGAATCGGTAATACTTTGTTGCCAAGGTGGAATATTTCGCGCAACAGCTGGTTCTCCGCGAGGTGAATATTTATACCGGGACCGAGCAGTCTGCAGCAAGCGTTGTACTGAGTACGCGCACACCATCCCTCTAAATATAGAATCTCTTGGCCGAATTTTACATGCATTTCTGGTACGACGTCTTCCTACAAACAATCAGAACAATATTAGTATATATCCTTATTTCAATACGTTCACGATGATCACCTCTATGTAACGAAGTATATCTCGGAAATTAGCTCTCTGTTGTTTGCGGTCCTTCTTCGCCCTGTACTTGTTCGAGTCTGTGGCGAGATCCTTCAATACCTCGAGCATATCCAGCGACCAGTCCTGTTCATAATCGCAGGAGAAGTCGCGACCTAGCTCGAATATCACAGCCAACGCTTCTCCGGCTGACAATCTTATGTCCAGGTGCGGCGAGCCAAGCAATTCGCGTAATTTGTTCAGGGACCTGAAATAAGACAATTGGTATGATTCACTCCGCTGATACCGTTACTGCTCGATACTTACGGCATATAACTGTTGACTTTATTACTGCTGATTAAGTTGTTGATATCAGCTGGAGCCATCACGGTCAACAGGAGCGTCCACGAAGAAATCGCTGCTGCATGTAGTGCCGCGACTTCCGGAGTGATGGTCGCTATAGCACCGTTTCCCTTGAGGAAGGAGCCGGAAAATATACCGGATAGCAATTGCACGATCTCGATGGTATCGGCCGCGTCGTTGCCCGACAGAAACTGGTTCATGCTCAGAGCCCAACAGCACTGTAAACAAAGTAATTATTAGTCAGTATCCAAAACAGCTGATCTCTTTATCATTTACCTCTGCTCGTGCTTGAGTAGAAGCCGACGTATCGTTAGCAATGAACGTCAGGGTGTTCTTCAAATCCTTGCAGACCGTCTCCGCACTCTCGAACGCGCCTAATTGTACGCAGAGCAGAGTGCTGAGCCTAGCTGCCGTCGACTGTTCTTCGCTGCGGCCCTTCTTCAATCCCCTTTCCACGGAATCGGTGATGGTCATCTTCCTGTCCTCGACAAAATCCGGCACGTACTTGATGGCGAATATCTTCTCGATCCCGTTGAAACATATCGTCCTGCCCTTCGCGCTCTTCTGCGTCAGGCCGTCGATGGCCTCCTTTAGCTTCTCCTCGAACACCTCCTGCTGCGACAATTCCTCCACTTCGTTGTCGTTCACATCGTCCAACATGCTACGGTTGTCGGACTGGCTGCTGGACACGCTGCACGCATCATTGTTGACGGAATCCTCGTCGGATGTTACTTCAGCTTTCTTTCCACCATGACCTGTGCGCAACATATCGCAAGGTAAGCGACATTGCATGAGGGTAAATCCGATTCGATCGGAAACGATCGGTGATCCATAAGCGTTACGTAATGAGCGTTTGCATTTAATTCGTACAATGAAAGCCGAGGCACGACAGTTGTTGAAAGTGAATGTCACGTTACATAATCCGAGTTCGGAACAGCTGTTACCTTTAATTAATTGTAACATGCGTGACATATCTAATCGCGATTCCTGGAAAATTCTCGTAATTCGAATTCTGCATATCATGTTTAATACTAAAGACGTAGCAAACAAATTATTGTGACATGCGATACGCGCATTTCTTTCGATCGCACACAAAGGTATAAAAAATATGCGACGATAAAAACTTTTTCATGAAGGAACGCGTCCGATAATTCATCATGCGAATGTTCGCCTATTTATGCGCTTATAAAATCGATTTCCGTTTATGAAGAAATAAAGGTGAGTCAAAATATTAGTTGGTAGTTGAAAGTTCAAGGAAAGTAATAAGTTCCGATGATCGATCGACGATAAACAATCATCTCAGAACGGCGATCTAAAATTAGCGTCAGTGATTCAGCTTTTTGGAAAATTACGATTTATGGTCCTAACCCTGTTTGCTTCCAAGAAGTGAGAAGCGATTGATTCGACGGGATTTTGGCATGGGAAACGGAATGAGGACGCTGGCCATCGTTTCGTGAGGCGATCTAAGTAATTGACTCGATTTTAACAAAGAATTTATTCGTCTCCTTTCGTGGAGACCAAAAGGAGCCCATGTGGTAAAAGCATGCGAGTCACATGGGAATTGCCGTCGCGACGTTATGTCCTCGTTACACGCCAGAAATTTTATAGATCGATAAACATTTTCGGGGCTGTGAAACCAGTTGTCTTAACGCTTACGTGTGTCGAAGTTGAGAATCGCGATAATTGACAGTCTGGTTTCCGACCAAGGATGAAATAAATAAGATTTAAAGGGTATGAGTCACCGCGAGGGAATGTCGATAATTCAATGAAGGACAATAAGCGCGTGTCTCGACCGAAGACACTTCTTATCGATACGACCTGAAGAATGCAGATTTTTGGTGAACAGCGAACGGCGTTCCGATGTGAAAACCAGGAATGAAATAAATAAACATGGGACGCGCGAGGGAAATCGAAGAAACGTAAAAATCGTACCGGATTTTCTTCTCCTGCCTCCTTTGCCTGGCATCGTTCTCCACTTTCCTTATTGCACAATTGATACTAAGATAAATGCTTGATCAAGAGGGTAAATGTCTTGCACTATTAATTTTCTTTCGTATACTGAATACACTGCATGAATTTTTAATTAGAATTTGATAAAAACTCATTAACATGTTAGCGAACTGTTCAAAACATACACGTCGAGACAGCCTGCGATGGGCTTTCTCAAGTGCACTGTCTTTCACGAATCGCGAATCTACCGGAACGTCAGCGAACCTACCCGAAGGCCTAACTGCGCCCGCGCGAGCTCTCGACCAGTCGACTTCTCTGTATTCAGGATCTAGAAGAATTCATCAATGAACGAACAACGGATGAGGCAAAATACCCGAGCTACATCGGATAACCTTTCTCATTCGTTCTCGTGAGTTAGTGCATTGTTTAACGCGCGCAAGCGTGCCGATGCAAAACAAATGCACAGTTGCAGAACACGTGTTTCGAAGTTTCGCCTCAAATACTTCATTTGTTTCGCAATAGAAGAAGACACGTGTTGGCATCGATTCACGTTACAATCTCAGGTAGGAAAATTTTGGTATCGATAAGGTGGAGGGATGCAGTAATCACATTTATGGTATTCGTCGTTTGTTCTGTATTTTTCGAATATAAAAAACGATTCAGAATGATACATTTTTGGACTCATTGTTAGCAATGGAGTAGTGAGAGCGTAATCTTAAATACGTCGCGAACAAATTAGGTACGGCGTGTTAGATTTGAAGTGAATGATGACGTACGATCATTGCGAGAGTTATCAGTACGTATAATTCAGAGTATACTTATATTACAAAGTTTGTTCGTATGAATTCGTATCGCTATAGTACAAAATTGAACGTATCCCAAGTGTGGCAAAAGTGACGAGATTTATATATTTAGCTGCAGCTCTTGCGTCGGACGTGTGCAAACAAACGTCAGTCTGTCTGTGAAAGCACCTGTACAAAATTTTGTTCAGTTCTGCGATAAAGAGAATGTTTCCTCGCCGTGTTTCGGATATGTCACGTTTACTTTCAACGGTACCACGTTATCGCGCTACACGCCGGATTGATAATTCATATTCGTAGAAAAGGAATTTTTAGTTGATAATTGCGTCTCTTTGTACAATATTATTTATTAAATTAGAATCATATGTATCTCGACAACGATAGTACCGCCGCAACAATTACGCTGACTACACTAAGTGTCTGCGAGCTAACGGACGCAGAGTTGGCAACGGATGTGAAATTTCGGCACGGTGTTACTCGTCGAATATAATTGAATATCGAGTCTACTATATTTGCAGGCGTCGAATCCGAGCATTTCTCCAGTTCTTTCACGGCACACGCCTGAAGGGTGGACATGTCTCTGCAAACAAAAATTGCCAATTCGTCTCATCGAGCTTTTACTCGTTATCGTATTAAAATATGCGTTGACTCTTACGCGCATTCCTTAGCTCCGAGAACGAGAGGAACGATAGATCCCAAGTTAGACAAAGAATCCATGGTAGCATTCTGCGGCGCGTAGCTCGAGAACGTGGAGTTGGCGCAGTCTTGAAGTTGCTGCTGCTTCGATTGCAAGCACTCGGGCCCGTTCGCAGATATAAAAACTACAAATCACACAGAGAGTTCTAATCAGTCACTAGGTTAGAGGATTACGTTTATCAGATAAATTGGATACGCACGTGCAATACGATCGCCTTCTTTGTAGCAAACGAACTTCAACAGGGAGTCCGTGATACTTCGCATGATCTTCGTCATCTCTTTCTCCTCATCTTCGAGGCAGGGTTCTAGAGCTATTGTAAAATTGTTCACGCAGTTTTGCAGAGTAGGCGTTTTCCGGCAGTAATTTTTAAACACCACGTCAAGGTCGCCCGTAGGCTTGTACTTCTCCATTTCTTCCTGCAGTTTGGTCACGTTGACGAACGAGCTGATGCACTGCTCCAAGTCGTTCATCGACTCCCTCGTGCGCTCGTACGCTTCGGGTTTTCCGTTCTTCTCGCATTTCTGTTTCAACCCGTCTTTCAACATGGTAGACAAGGACATGTTCGAGGTGATGTCGATCAGATCGCTCGCCCCGGACACGTTTAGACTTTTTAAATCGATCACATCGGAGACCTTGCTCAGCACGTCGTCTGCAGTTGGCCCGTTCTCCTGCGAGTTAGTGCGCGCGAGGAATCCTGAGGTAAAAAACGAATTAACATTAATAATTCATCGCCATAATTCTTTTCTTTTTCTTATAAAAACTAACATATTCTGCTTTTTTTTTTATATTATGTAAATGACGAGTATAAATAAGCGTACACCGTGGAGCTCTTAGCGAACGATTAACGAGGCTCATTTTGTGACAAATTAAGAATCGACACGCTATTCGTGATCTTCTTCTCTTATTTCCTGTTCAAACACGTCATCCTCGCGTGGACTTTGCCGCCACCATGTGTAACCGCAAATCATCATTTTTTTCTGTTCTTCAACTATTAGTCAAGAACAGCTAAGGACGCGATTGGAAATCGCAATTTAAAGTAGGTAATTGATTATGCATATATAAGGTAAACAGTTTTGTAACAAGATTAAGAACAATGGGTATCTTTACATTAATTCATTATATACTTTTAGCTCGCAGTGTTTGAAAGTGTTTTTCTGCGCACGTTTCTTTGTAGACAAGATTCGGTGCGGATTCGTGGAGTACAAAGTGCATGAGTTGAATCAGCGTGTGCAATCTGTGCATTTGTCACGCACACGTGTTTGTCATAACGATAAGCAGTCGCCCGGTACGTATACATATAGGAAGATGGAACAACTGTTTTTTACCCTGCAGTCCCGATAATCGGTTATTACAATCGAACATTTACGTTCATTAAGAAGCGAACGTTACCGCGGTTTTTAAGCCCAGCGCGATGTATCGCTATCGACCACGGGCATCGATCGAAGGTCGTTCATTGATCAGTAAGCTTGAAATGCGATCGGGAATAATGGCAGGGTTGCTGCATGTGCAAACAATTGAACAATAACGCGGTACGAACGTGATATCCCATCGGTAAATACCGGTAATTACCACACGTCTCGCGAACGTAACGAGCCGTCTGTGACATCTAACCTCGCCTACGTCGCTAAAACCACTTCTCTAGCATCAGACAGCGAGACGAAAAAATAAGGTAAAAAGAACGTCGATTCGTAAGCATGATGTAGCACGATTTTGTGATCGCCTTGAGTGTGTATTGCATCTTTCGCATATTTTTGCACTTTTCATCGCGTATGACAATTGCGCTGGGAATCAGAACAGAGCCACGGTTTTCGTCCACTTACCGCATAGAAATACCACGACGGTAACGGTGATCGCGTTGGTCATGTCGTTAAAGGTACAGAGTCTCTAATATCATTAATGTTGACAGCGTATGAAGTAAACGTTGTTAGGTGGGAATGCACCTTCAACCGAGCATCACTGTTACCGTGTCACCGTGATATAAAATAAAGGCCGCGGTCTCACTGCCACTGTTTACGAAAGTCGTGCACCGATCCGTCAGTAATATCGGTGAAAGGAAGAGGTGCAGAGATCTGGTGAGAACGCGACGATGCACACGGCACAGAGATATTCGCTGTTGGCCGAAAGACAGCACAATACTGACTGAGCCGTGGAGCGCGTGCGCTCCGCTTATATAAAACCCGATACTTTACACTCCACCGCCGTTCCTCCTAATCCGATTTCACGTTTGTTATTACAAAACGGTGGTTGTTTGTATGCTTACATTTCTCCGATTTTTAATGCCCGAGATAAGCTCTCGTCCATGGAGCCGTGTTAACTGCTTGCGGTTGGGTTGAATTTCGAGCTTTTATCTTTTCTTCTTACTTTGACTGTAGAAAATATTTGTATTACGTTTGAATGTGTCAATGGATTCGTTCTTCAGCATATTTCATAAGTGTAATTTGTAATGAGATGTAAATTATTTCCATTTGTTTATAATATTAGAAATACGTTTTCAATTCTTCGGTAGTATAGTGGTCAGTATCCCCGCCTGTCACGCGGGAGACCGGGGTTCGATTCCCCGCCGGAGAGAATTAACTTTTGCATCTCTTCCTACCGAATCTGTTCCTTACTTTTTTTTAACCGAACCTGTGGAAATAAACTGGATTTTAATGTATTTTAGGATGCTCTCCTAGAGACAAGGACTCCGTTGTGAGTGTCCTGACTCATTCTTGGTTCTCGGAAGTTAAGGACGCTTTGATAATCCCTTTATGAAGCCTGTGCTAAATGAAGTTCTCCGTGAAAGTATCTGTGCATCGTCAGATATCGTTCAGATTAGATTTTTAACACATACTTGCATACTCTTCCGAGATGCTATCACGATTTATAAAGGTCATGGATGATCCCAAACAAAGACCTAAGAGATCAACACTTATCGGAATCCATGAGGAATTCAACATAGTATGCCAAGCGTGTTTATCAAGCGCACGTGGTGCAAACGGTGCACATTTTGTCCGAGAGGCATTCACAATGGGATCGTGAAACGAGTGGCTCGGGTCGAATTTCAAGTGTCGGGCGTTGCTGTCAGGGAAAATATCTTTTATAAGTCAAACTTATTACCACGTGCTTTATTTTTTTAAATGTACGTGCTGATTACTCGGGCTCTCAATGTACGAAGTAATATAATATTGTAGAATCGTTTCCAACTGTTATGCTTCTACTTCTAATCTTAAGTACGTAATCTTACTTGGATTTCGATTTCTTATCACTTCGATTTTGAGTTCTAGCTATTGTATATATAACTTGGCGCCTGACGAAATGCCACTGCTTGTAAATACAAGCCTCGTAAAATACTAAAATGGAACAGTCATTTTATTGTGTGTCTAGCCGTGTTAAAAATAAACTTCTCATTTTACAAGGTAATGAATGATTGAGCAACGAATAAACATTAGAGTGTGTAGGATATTAATAAAACAGGTAATAAGCAGACTTTCAATGTTAGACGACCGAGTAGCTAAATTGTAGCCGAACAGTCGGAGTTCTCAGAACCTGACATATGATTCAGGCAAGATTAAGATATCGAAGGCTGAGAGCAGGCAGTGAAATGGTCGTTGATAAGCATTTGTGTGACGACAGATCGCTTATGTTGCATTTGTCGTGTAAGGAAATTAGAAGATACGAAGCTTTAAGGGGGGCGCAGTCACTCCGTCGATAGGGCTTCCAGGAGAAGCCTGTTAAACCTTCCAAAAAGTATGTTAATTAAGTATTATTTATTGTAATATTCCTGTAAATTAATACAAGAAGCATCGGTGGTTCAGTGGTAGAATGCTCGCCTGCCACGCGGGCGGCCCGGGTTCGATTCCCGGCCGATGCAAATTTCTTTTGCTAGATTTGAAAATGATCATGGTAAATCGAAGAAATGAGATCAGAGTGGACTTGGTTCCATTTATTTAGACTCTTGAGAGATTTAGATAACATCTAAGTCGTGAATCATCGCAATAATTAAAAGCATTGAAGAGTAATTCCTGAATCCATGAACTCTGCCTTCATCATTCCTATCTTTGCGTGATACAAATATTTTTATTTTATTACAGCGTAGTGTCAAAAAGAAAATCGGTGTTAAATACGGATTAAAGATACACGAGAAACCGAAAGAAGTCGTGACGCAAGGCGTTCTTTTAAGGATTCCTTATATAAATATGAAGTACTAAGCCCTGATTTTAAGCACATTGAATCACAATATTAAAATACAAACATCAACGATTACGAGAAATCGCGACTTGGAAAGGAAACCTTTTCGAAAATCGCATAGACTATCCAATAAGTAGTTAAGAACGAAGGAACTTGGACCCAGCAATCAACTTGTTGTCTTACAACCTACTCACACATTTCTCACGACGTACACGTGCAAAAACTGGGCAACAATTCTTTCAGTGATTTCGCAATTCCCATAAGGAAAAAATGAATCCTATCGATTAAACCTTGCGAGCGTATGTGAACAAAGTCTTGGGACGGTCGCATCGGCCATCGATTAATCGCAAGCGGTCGTGAATTATTGCATAAGGTTCCCGCGAAACCATCAGCGCATCAATTTTTTATTTATAATAGTTTGGAGGCCGACTCGGAAAGCGACTCGAACATCTTGCACACATCGGTGAAGTTCAAAGTCTATAAGCGTTCCGCATCATTAGATCGAAGTATGCGTCGTGGTCGATGCTCGCGCTGATAGCGCTGTAATAGTTCATAAACTCCTCCTCGGTGATCTGCAACCATACCGTATGTCCTAAATATGTTTCTATACAGGCCAAGGTCAAAGTAGTATCTGTGGGCTGGTGTGAGGAGTGCCAGTATCAAATCTCCGCGAAGATTAATTAAAGGAATGTAATTTTTTTAACGTATCTTTAGGCATTGGTATTTCAACTTGTTTAAGGATGTATTGGCTATAC